ATACTGTAAACACGTGCTTAACACTTCTTCAGGGACAAATTGATCAAAGTCGCGCAGGAAAATGTAGTAATTTTTAAGTGACATAAATACACAAATATAATATCTTTCGATTGTGCGACGTGAGTGAAATGAATATTCACTCGCAATAATATTCGTTATCTCTCTGTTTGAATCAAAGAGAACTACCATCCAGAATCCCAGAAGAGGTGAAACGATAATCTCCCGCGAGGTACTCGGATCGGAGTAAAAAGTTGCGCGTTATGTCGTGATTTTACGTCGTCGTACGATATACGGCGCCGCAGACAGACGTTCATCGCGACGTGACGGATAAATCGTACATTTGCTAGAAACTATATGCCGCTGTTTAAGGCAACAATTTCAGATCGCATTCAGGGGACATTTGCTCTTTCCCAAGATAGAACTCGTGCTGAAAAGCGTGCGCTCGCGCGCGTATCGGTTTGAAATAGGAGAGCGTATATACGCGAGATACCTCTCTCATTGCGCACCGTCCGAGAGAGAAAACGACCATTAGCATTGAATCGTGCAATAAATTACGGCCATGATGCGGCAATCGCGAGCCCCAAAGTAATCTTCCTCTCTCCCTCCCCCTCCCCCGTCACAGTGGCATAAATCACCCTCTCGCTAATGCGGCGTCGCAATAACGCACGGATGCGGGTATGCGAATATTTACGAGAACATTTAATTAACCGACATCTTCCCTCTCGCTCGCTCTCGTCTCGAGACGCCGTCGGATCGCGAAAGGATCTTACGCGGATTGTACCGCAGAAATCGGTAGCGCGCACGACACCTTTCTCTCTCTCTCTCTCTCTCTCTCTCTCTCTGCCCTCTCCTTCCCTGCTCTCGTCTTTTTTCTTCTCCTCTCTTCGTTTCCTCTTCGCCCTTCATGGCAGGATTTCGTGCCCTTTTCCCGAGCCGGCCAATTAGGTTGCCGAGCGGCGGCGCATTGCGCGGCGATAGGATGATCGAGCGACCCGATCGTATCGGCGCTCGCGTGCCAGGATCACGGTCAGGACACTCGATAGCCCGATAAGTAATGCACCCTGATAGGATGACGGAGGATACACGGGCCATAAGATAGACCGAGACAGCACGATGGCGCGGGCGAGAGGGAGAGGAGCGAGGAGATCGCGGCGGCGAGAAGCGCGCTTCCAGGGATCCTTCTGGAAGTACGAACGATGTTATCGGTACGAGGTATCGAGAACGGCAATGAGTGTCCCTCTACGAAACGAATGGAACGTGGCTGGACCGCGTATGTACGCATGTACGTATGTATATAAGTGCGTGCGTGCGTGCGTGCGTGCGTGCGTGCGTGCGCGAGGCAAAAGGAAACACATGTCGCGAACAGTGCGCGCGCTCGCGCGGTAAATGATCCAGTGCGATAAATCGCCGCGGTGCTATAATTTCGCCTGTAATTCCGTGGCGTACACGAGATAACGGCTCGTTAGCCGTTTGGGATACGTGCGATAGCAAAAGGTCGCGCTGAACCGCGACTCGAGCCACCTGCACAGACGCGCTGACGTATCGCGATAATATTCAGAATTATTGCTCAAACTGCCCGGACTTGTGCTTCCGGTTGCGCTAATGAAGACTGACTACCGTTTCGATTCTCGCGACGCGAAGTGTCGAGGGCAAGTGGTCGAGACTGGTCCGTGAAATTACGCCCGAAAAGGAGTCCCTCTTGCGTGTGCGATTCGGCTACCGTATCTTCCGCACGACGACCATTGTTCAATGGCAATGTTAAGGAACACTCGGCATGTACACACCTCTAAGACCGACGATTTATTCTTTCCGCCGCCCGCCGGCGGAAATCAATTCCGCTAATTAGATCAACGGTCGCTCGATTACCGGCGGCTGCGCACACCTGTTCGTTCTTTCCAGCAGCACGTGAGTTTTAATTAGGCATGGGCCAAAGGTCGCGAGCGGGAGGGAGGGGAGTTCGTCGCCGTGAATTCGACGACCACGAGACGACCCGGCCGGTCGCCACCGATTATCGGGAGAGACCCCAGCCGGTCGTGCTTTGTGCCCGGATACCGTTTGATCTTCGACCACGTGGCGCGGTGGGGTAGCTACGCGCGCGGCGTACGAGCGAGCCGGGGTCGCTGCTGCGGCTAATTGCCAGCTCAGCGACCACGTCAATGAAATCTGCACTTCCACGTTGCGTCGATCGAAGGCGTCGGCGGCGGCGGCGGCGGCGGCGGCGGCAGCTAGGGTGAGAGGAAACGGGAAGGAAGCTTCGCTCCCTCGCTTTGCGGATCTCGCAATCGCAGCCTGCACTGACCTGCGATCATCGTGCGACGGATATTATATTGGACGCGCCGCTAATTGGCTACAGAGAGGAACGAGCCGACGATGCGAGGAGATGCGCGTCAGATAGTTAGCGGCGCGCGGCTATTTCGATTCAAACGTCATGGGTGTTTCGATTTAGGTATCTCGTGCCTGTGTCTCGTTTCTCCCGGGTTTCTCCCGAGCTCGTGCTCCCGCGCTCGATCGGACGATGACGAACAACCGCGTGAATGCAGACGCGCAAGTTGCGTGTCTCTCTCTCTCTCTCTCTCTCTCTCTCTCTCTTTGCATTTACAGGTGTTCTCACCGTACAATCGCAAATCGCCTGATCGCGACATAACAGGAACGAGAGGGTAAAATTCCGACGAATTCAACGAGACCGTCACATCGCCGCGTGGACAACCTTTCTCCTGAGGTTGAGGTGTTTCAAATAACGGACAACGAATACGCGCAAATGCGCGGCTATCCCGACGGAAGGTTACTGTGTGTTGTCGAAGCGACTTGGATTTGGCACCCTTCGTAACCTGCGAGGAAAGATCCGGCGAGAAGAGAGGGGATGGAGAGTAGGCGGACGCGGCAGGTTTGCGTAAGGGAGGCAGATAAGCCTCAATTATGCCGATTGACTCCTCCGAGTGATGCTAGGTAGGGGAATTTTGCTCCTCCTACTTGTCCCGTCACGTGATCCCAGGCAACCTTCCTTCTTCTGTCTTCCGACGGAGGGTGTGATCCTTCGGGAACCGGGAAATGTGTCGAGGAATCTCGGAAAGGCTCGCAAAAGCGCCGGGGCGCTCGGAGCGGCGCGACCAGGCGCTGCGCGCGAGGTGTCCGCGCCTCGATGATTCTCAATGTTTCTGCGACTTGCGAGTGAATGAATCGCGTTATCCCCGAGATCGGGTGAAATCGAACGAGCCGATTGGAATTTCAACATTTGGACATTGCTACGATCGATCGACAAAGAGGCTCTTCTCCGCTGCGCGGAGCGCCTATCTCTCTCGCCCATTCAGGGAGAATAAATATTTTTCGCTGCAGCGCCACGAGCATGCACCCCGAGATGCAAAAGTTCAGACAGCCGGTGTGCCACGGCGTACCTGTTGGTTCACGGGGAGGCGTTTCAGGTGTTTTCTTTCGAGAACGAGACGGAGTCACCGCCGATGGCAGGAAAGGGACGACGGATCCCCGAGGTGGGAGGAAAAGGGAAGGAAAAGAGAGATGCAGAAGCGGCTACGGCCTACGGCCGCCACGCATTTTTTCCGTCTCTCTCTCTCTCTCTCTCTCTCTCTCTCTCTCTCTCTCTCTCTCTCTCCCGCGCGCGCGTTCTCTACCTCCGCTATTTCTCCCTTTCCATCCCGGTCCGTCGACATCTCGTCGTCCTCGTCCAGGCGGTTCCGTTTCTGTACGTCCCTCTTCGTCTCTCACACCGAATCTCGGGGTGGTGGCCGATGGTGGTGGTGGTCGCGTCCGGATGGTGGTGGCTATGGTGGGGGGTAGTTGGTTCCTTCGTGCCTATACCGTTCCCTATCTCTCCTTTCTCTCCCTATGGGAGGGCGAGGAGGGCCCCGTAGCCGCGCACTGCGCACCGAGTTCATCATAGACAGAGCGATCTTCCTGACAGCTTCTCGTCGGTCTTGAACGAAGGCGGAAGATCGGTCAGGTTCTGTCCATCTGTCCGGCAACGTGGTGTCGGTGTCTCGGCGAGCCGAGGAAAGAGATAGATAGATCGATAGGTGGAGAGGGAGGGAGAGAAGCAGGGGGACACGGGGATAACGAAAGTGCGTGACCTTCTTCTCGCGTTCCTCCATTGGGATCTCCGCTCCCGCGATCGCCACACATTCGTCCCGTTCCACCGTGCTGGTCGACGGTTCGCGAAACGGTTCTTAACGTCTCGTACACCGAAACAGTTCACCTTTGATCGTACCTTTTGCCTCCCCCTCTCCCTCCGCCCCGCGACCTGATCCGACAGCGCGCGGGAATCTTTTCCACCCCTGTTGCGATCCGATCAAACGCGTCGGCACCTCCACTCCTGGAGTCCCTCCAAGCGGATCAGACTCTCCTCCACCTTTTTCCCCCTTCCTCCGGCAGATCCTTCACGTCTTCCTCTTCCGCGATCCACAAAGCCTCGCCTGGCTATGTCGTCATCGTCGCACCGTGCGTGACGATCGCGGGAAGTTTGCTATTCGACTGTTTGCACGAGCGGAGCGAAAGATAGGCGCGGTTACGAGGGAGAGAGAGGCCGAGGAAGCCGCCGGTGGAAGAGGAAGAGGAGGCGGTGGTTGAGGAGAAAGACGAAGAGGACTTGCAACCGAGGACGCGGGGAAGGGGGGAAGGTGGTGATGGTCCGCGTGTGGGAGGAGTAGGAGGATCCCCGAGGGCGACTTTTCTTTTATTTGAGCTTGACACTTCGCCGCGAGCGCACACACACCGGAAGTGTCGAGTGAGACATCGCGCTCTCTTCTCTTCTTCCGACTAACGCGCGTCGAAAGATCGGCTCGTCCAGCCGTATCCACCGCTACCGAGCGAAGAAGGCGCGAGAAGAAGAAGAAGAAGAAGAAGAAGAAGAAGAAGAAGAAGAAGAAGAAGAAGAAGAAGAAGAAGAAGAAGAAGAAGAAGGAGAAGGAGAAGAAGAAGAGGAAGAAGAAGAGGAGGGAGAAGAAGAGGGAGAAGAAGAGGAAGAAGAAGAAGAGGAAGAAGAAGAAGAGGAAGAAGAAGAGGAAGAAGAAGAAGAAGAAGAAGTAAAAGAAGAAGGTGGACGACCTCGAAGTGCTAGAAGACGAGGATAGGATGTCACCGGATCTTCGAATAGACTTCACGGAGAAGGGCGTCGCGGTCGACAAGTTCACGGTGCAAATCAGATAAAGGGAAACGACGTCGCGAGATCGTCCGGAAGTCCGGACTATGCTGAAGTACTTCGCCGAAGAGAATACCAAAGAAGACCGAGCCGGTGCGACGAAGAATGTAGTGATAGTGACCACACTGTATACCTCGACGAAAACACTTGGGGGACTCTAGAGAACCCTCCAGATCGTCTTTCGTCTTTGTCGTGCACGCAAGCATCGACGACAGTATTTTTGCTCCAAAGATAAGTGTATCTAAGAAGATTCAGCGAGGTCGCCCGGGACACTCGTCTCGTTCTCTTTCTCTTTTTTCTCTCTTTCGTCGACAGTTCCTCCCGATAAACGCAACGAAGATCTCTCTAATGGGAACATACGCGTAAGTGGTTCGTCAAAGGATAGCGAAGCGTCATTACTCGACAAACGAGTCACGAGAGAAGGTAGGTGATTACACGTCGAGAACGAAGCTCCTCGTCATTGAGCGAGCGAGCGAGCCAACGCAATAAGCTGTCCCATCGTGCCACGAGAGCCAGGATCGAGACGCGTGCATGTACAAACGTTCTCTCTCTCTCTCTCTCTCTCTCTCTCTCTCTTTCGTCCGATGAATCGGCCGATCGCCGTGGAATATTATTGTCCCGGGGTAGTTTTCGGTACGACCCCTCGAAGCGGCGAAACTGCGAGCTCTCGAATCGTACGGAACGTCAAAGGAGAAGCGCCGGTGCCCGGGGCGAGGTGGAGTCCTCGACGCGTGCCAGGCTGCTGATCACAGGCACCGCGGCGAGAAGAGTAGGAGAGGGACCGTAGAACACGGGGCGAACGCGCGAGAAGAGTGACGGAGAGCGGAGGAGAAGGCGCGCGCGCGCGCGCGCGAGGGAGAAGGAGAGAAAGAGGTAGATAAAGAACGGGAGCAGCTTCCAGCATCGTCTCGAACGAGGGGTCCTTCCGTTCGGGTGCTAGGGGTGTGCAGCCCCGGACGAGGGGTCGCACTCGACTCTTTTAAAGTGGGCAAACCGTGCAAGGAAAAGGAGACGTCCTCGGGGCAATGACAGGATGCCTCCGTCTCGTACAGGACGTGCATACGAGGGACCGCCGTCCAGGATCGCCACCAGGATCGGCCCCGCGGTCGCCTTGCTGCTGATCCTCCTGGAGCATCGTCGGTGAGTGCCAGATCTGGCGATTTCTTCAACTTTCATCTTCCCAGCATGTTCCCAGCGTGTCTTTAGACAGCTTCGCAAGCAATTTGTGGCAACGTTGAGGTCGCGATCGGGCTTGCCATGTATTCGCGAAGCGTTCTCGATTTCCTAGAAGAAATCGCACGAATTTGCGCAAAGCCATCGCGATCGTGGAAAAAAGTCGCTCGATATCTCGCGATATCGCTTGTGCGATAAGACGCAAAAAAGTTTGCGAAAGACAAAATGTGTAGCGTCGCGTCCCTCTTTTAATTTGCACGCGGATCGTTGCGGCTATCGTCGTCGACTTGTTTTCGCTCACGAACGTCCCATCCGCTCTCCTCACGATTGACCGGCGATACGCGCCGCGCGTCCCTCCGGTCCTCTCTCTCTCTCTCTCTCCCTCTCTCTCTCTCTCTCTCTCTCCCTCTCTCTCTCTCTCTCTCTCTCTCTCTCTCGTACCTCTCCTCTTGTCCAGCTCCTTCACCCCGTACTCCACGGCACTCCGCCGTCGCCGTGGGCACTCCTCGGGGAAGTGTTCGCGCGCTCCGGTCCCCACGATATCCCGATGCGCCGCGATGCAGCGCATAATGCAGACGTCAAAATGTCACTCTCGCGCGCTTTGTCCGTCCACTGCGACGGAGCGCTTCAAATCGCAAAGTCGCGCACGGAGTGCACGTCATCCGGCTCTCTCGGCTCGCCAGGAGACGGCGACGGACGGCAGCGCGCGCTGGAGCCAGGAGGACCGTCATCGTCGTAGAACGAGCGGGAGCAAGAAGCTCGCAAGGAGAGCTCGCCGTGTCTAATCCCGCCGGGAAGAACCTGCGAGCCTCGGTAGCGTGGCCGACTTTTTCCGCCGCCTCGTTCCCTCTTTGCATCCACTGTGTCGACGTGCCCGACGTGCCCGCGCGCTCATAGCCCCGGCTGCGGAGAGAATTCGTCAATAGGACGCTGGTTTCTTCCCCGACCTGGTGGTCGCGTCGTCCGCTCTCTCGCCGAGAGCTGCACAATGACGAAGTGTAAATAGGCCCATCGAACCGCACCGCGCGCGCGACGAACGAATCCCGCTGTGCGATCTTCATTATGGACCTCTCTCATCGTGTTGTTAATCGCACGCCCCGTGCACCGCGGAACCGCGTTCTAAACGAACTTCCTTCTTGCGAGCGCGCCGCGCCGCGCCACGCCGCTGAAGCGACGCTTCTCGGACAATGCGCGCTTTCCCCCCCAAATTGAAAGAGAGCATCGCCTCGATCCACGCTCGGACAGGCGCGTTGAGAATCGCGGGGATTGTAGACCCGACTCGGTGTATCACTTCGAACATCGTGCACAATGCGATTGGCCGAATCAAAGCGATTCCTTAATTACCGCGGGAACGTAGCGCATCGGCCAATGGCGGGCTGACGAGACTGTCGAGCTGCCTTCGAAGCGCTCCTCGATTGATCAAGATGTTTTGCCGCTCGGCCACTTTATCAAGCGATATTGAAACGACGGACCGTCGCTGCGTCGGCTGCGCGCCGCGCAGCGATCTCCGACGCGCGATCGACACACGGCACGTCGATAAATAAAGATCGGTGTTGCGTTTGCGAAACTCGCGGGCTCCTCAATCAGTTACGTCGCAGTCGTAAAATCCGACGCGGCGCGTAAAAGTGTCGGGAGATAAATTTTGCAATCGCGGCCGCGTGTCCCGTGATAATGCGCTTCCCTCTCGTTTGTCGTCGCCCGGCGCGCGGATATCGTGGCCCGATCATCGGCGACCGCGCGACCGTTCTCGAAATATATACACACGAGCGATTCTTCGTCAATGGCGATAACCACTCGATAGGCTCTCACCACGCGTGAGATGGGGAGAAAGAGAGAGAGAGAGAGAGAGAAAGAGACCCACGCGGCTTCTTGTAAATAATTACGCCTAGCATCCGGGAACAGGACTCGATGGCGAGCCTGTTGTGCGAGTGAGTGCACGCGCGTTCCTTCACACATAAACGCGCACTTGCGCAGGTCGGACTTGCAGGACGGCATTGAATTACAGGTCTGATGATATAATAGTCAATAAACTGGTTCGTGGCGACGCGCGTTCTTCACGTCGCGTCGTGACACGCGTGCGTGGCTTTCTCTGATACGTATATAGTACGCTGTGCTACGTGCACTTTTATTTCTCTTATTTTATTTCTCTTGCCGCGCTCGCTCGAATTCGACGTGGATTAAACGCGCAACGTAAACAATCGTAGCGAATGAGCTCCGGCGCGCTCATGCAAGCGCGTTCGAAATTTTGCGAGCTAATAAAACGCTCGGAGCCGCGTCGAGATAGCTTCCAGCCTCGTCGACGGAATGAGTGTCGCCGGGCATGTCGATCTGTATCGCGTATCAGGCTTTTCAACCTGGCGAACTTGGATCGCGTGGACTCTGATGTGAGCTGTTAGCTACTGATTTACTTGCTACCATTAGCATAGGCGATCTCGGGCGATCGGTATAGAGCGATATATAAGAGAAGTTTTCGAGACTGGAAAACCTGCTGTCTCGCAAGTCAGTTTAAGCGATAGATTAGATGCGATCGGTGTGGGGTAGTGTCCGGTAATAACAGATATCGTTCCCAATTAACGTGAGATGCACGATCGAAAGCTGGAGAAACTATTCCGCGAGCGATGGGCCGAACGATAGTTTAACGACTGGGTGTAACGTGATTGGCGACTATGCCACTTGCGGTCTCCGGGGTGTGACATCATTTCCGTGGAATTTACATTATCGCGGAAGATAACGGAACCGCGAAGGTTTATTAACAAAAAGTGCCCCTGTCTCTCCCCCTTCTCTCTCTCTCTCTCTCTCTCCCTCTCTCTCTCTCCCTCTCTCTCTCTCTCTCTCTCTCTCCCTCTCTCTCTCTCTCTCTCTCTCTCTCTCTCTCTCTTCGCCTGATGCGAGCACTCCGTGGAGCTCGCTGCAAATTGACGAACAAGACGAAGAGAGAGTCCTGTTTTATCACCGAGTTACAGGTCGCCATAACTTACGCGCTAGATACCATCTGCGGAACGTAATTCGCGGTCTATCGCATTCCTTTACAATGTGCTTCGCCGCGAAATCGATTTACTCTCGTAAGATCGGGGGAAGAAGGAAGGGAGGCACCTCGATATCTGCCGCCAGGTATTCTCGCGAGTCGGGGGATCCGTGAAAAAAAAGGACGAGTTCTCTCTTTCCACTGGGTATATCCCATTAGACGCGAAATTCCGTGCCGTATTTCCCTCTCCTTCTCTTTCTCTCTCTCTCTCTCTCTCTCTCTCTCTCTCTCTCTCTCTCTCTCTCTCTCTCCCTCTCTCTCTCTCTCTCTCTCTCTCTCTTCCTCTCAAGTTCGCAAGCTCGCGCGGTGACGGGACGCGCGGGAACGGGATGCGGATTAAATAAAACACGTGCATCCCCGCATCGTCGCCATCATGGATTCTTCTGCGACCCCTTGGATTACTGCAAAAATGCGGGACACGCGCTCGCGTATCTCGTCTCCGATTTGCCCAACGGGTTCCCATGAGATCGAGCACCCGAAGCGAAACGAAACTATAACTGCCGCCGGCAAAATGCGCGCGGCGCAAGTCGATGCTCGCTGCAGTAAATCGCTCTTGCGATATGCCCTTGTACCTTTCCTCGCGTCCTTCGTCCTCGCGTGCAGTATTGAATGCGGATATCTCTCTTAATCGGAATACATCTCCGAAACGAACTTTCCATTCACTCTGCTCCGTGGTCCGACGAAATCAACCTCGCACCCTGTTTGTCGGTGCCGATGCCGGTATTAACGAAGCAAGGGAATGACCGAATCGACGGGTCCAATCGAAGCAGATAACGCTTCATCGAGAAGCAGAGACGGGCGCGAATCGCGCGGACCGGCGGAAAGAAATTTGCTCGTTCCCGACGAAACGATCGCTATACGAGCAGTTCGCGGTGGAATAATTGCCGCGGGTGCACGGCTCGTTCGTTATTCGCGAAGTGAGACGCATGCACGAGCGGCGGGGCCGGGACCGGAGGAGGTAGCGAAAGGAATCTCTTGATACAATCCGACTTCCTCCGCAGGTACGCGGTGTCTTCCGTAATTTGTTGGGGGAGTTAAGATCATTAATCTGCTTTCGGTAGATCATCAATAGCGCGAAAGATAGCAGCGTTGCAACGTTGTACCGGTAATGGGAGCTCTCAATAACCTCCGCGACCCTAACCCCCTCCCCCTCCCCCCGAGTCGCCACCCACCCCCTCCACCCTACCGTCCTTTCCCACACCGCGCACAGGGAGACTCTCTCGCCGGGGCCTTTTTCCCTTTTCTTCTTATTATACCACCCCACCTTTACCTTCCCTCACCTTCGCTACCCTCCTCTCGTTCGTTGTCGCCAATTTCCTCCTCCTCCTCCTCCTCCACATTCTCCTTCCTCCCCCCTTCGTCCCTGCCTCTCTTCGTTCACGCGGGTGCTATACACAGCTTTTACTTTAGAAGAAGCTCGTCCGCTAATTTGTACCCGCAGATAACCGAGCGACCCACGGAGAGAGCCTTGCACCCGTCCGTGACATCCTGCAGGACCCTGCGCGGCTCCGCCGAGAGATCGGCTCGCAGGAAAAAAATAAACCGCCCCGAGGTGCCGCGGGCAGATTAATGATCCTGAGGGACGGTCCCCCGCGCCAATCTAGCCTCGCGAGTCTCGTGATCGCCGATAGGATGTTTCGACTTCCCCCATCGATCCGCCGGCGCAGCCGGCATATGTTCGCGTGTTAACGAATCGCATCGTGTTAATTCTCGCGAGATTACCTCGCACCAACACATCGCGCGCGCTCCGCGTGTGACTTCCGTCGGGCTTAATAACCGACGGATACAGTCGTGTGGAGAAATGAAGGGAATACTTCTCACCGGAGATCGTATTGATACGCGCATTCGCGCGATCGCGGGCGATTTGTTTTGACTCGGCGCAGACCGAAGGTATGTTCTCGTAACAAAGATTCCGAGATACACGTCGTCCCGGTTCCGCGGCCGTAACCGTTTGAACCTGCATCTCGAAGGGCTCAGGACGAGCCGCATAAGGAGGCAGGCGCGCGTCCGGGCATGTAGAAGGTCAACTCAATGGAATTCGATGAGGAGCCAGTTTTACGGCTTACTATTTACTAAGAGTAAACAAATAAATACGACGGGCAATAAAGCTGTCGTAAAAAAAAAAGAAAAAAGAAGGGTAAAATAACAGGCAACCTAACGGTACGACGTTAGGTCCGACGTTTCGGTGAAGCGCGCGCGGTAACAGGAAATGACGGCTACGTTCCTCCGACAGCGACGTATGAACGGAGCGAGCGAACAGCCCTTCTTTCTCGTTTTCGAACACACGACGATCCGCGTGCACGGACACGCACTCGACTCACGCACGCACGCACGCACGCTCCCGTCGTTTCTTTTTTCCACCTCGAAATTAATTAACACCCGGTACGCCGTAATACGCGGCCATTAGGCAGCAGCCGTCGCTTAAGATAGCGCTTTAAGAGCTCTTCTTCCGAGAGACGGATGCCGTTATCGCGACCGAGCGGGCCACGGGGCGGGGGCGGGGGAGCGGGCAGGGACAGACGGTGGCGGAGGGTGAAACGAGGGCCCAAGGCGCGGACCTTCCTCCTCGTGCGTGTCCCATCGCGGGGCGCGCGATGGCAGAAACAGACGGCGAGATGGTACGGCTTTATCGGCTCTTTGAGAGCGTTCGCACCTCTTGACCTCGGCCTCGTAAAACCGTCTCCACGAAGAAAAGCGTACGCCCGCTCACGCGGTGCACGCGTGCGTGAAAGTGCGCGCCGTGCAGCCGCACGCGGCCGTAAAATCGCTGCTCCAGACCGCCGCGATTAGTGCTGCATCGCACCGATTCGGAGATGCAGCCGGCCCCTGGCCGGTCCGCCCGACTCCCGATATGCCTCCGGTTCATCAGCTTCTCCATTAGTTCGCGAGCGTTTTGCGAGCTTCAAGTTTCAGGAACGTACACTGCTACAACTCCACCGAGACGACCATCAGAATCGAGTAATGTCGTTTAGAGTCGCAATCATCGCAATCAGAAGCGAATGATTAAGTGGTATCGAGTGGAGATAACAGCGCGGGAGATTGCGCGAACCTTTTCGCAATTATGTTCGTTGTACTCGAGATTGTCTTTCGAGCTTGTGTCGAAGAAACAAACAAACAGAGTTTACTATTTATCTACGAGCTGTACTTCCGTCAGAATCGTCCCTGTCGGTAGTCGTCCATGGTGTATATAATTGCCTGCGCGCCGTTACCCGCGAAGAACCCGACGATAATCACTTTCGCGAGTTTGACCAGCTGGCGCACCGTCCACTTCCGCCCTTCCACACTTCGTCACTAATTACACTCGACACGTGTTAAACTAATATGTACGCTCGCGGCAACCGGGAAGAGAAATAAGCGATGAGAATGACGGTGATGCGAGTTCTCGCCTCGCGATAAACGCTGACGCGTCTCCTCTTTCTCGTTAATATATCCGCTTGCGCGTCGCGCTATCTCTCGGGGATTTCGCGATACGGAGACACGTACATAAGGATATGTATTGTAATTAACAACGGTACGTGGGAAAAATCGAATTTCTCGATAAAATTACGCTTCCGCAATCTCTCCTCGATGAAAAACTCGGGGAAACTCGGGGAGGGGGAATGTCGAGGGGATTAAACGCGTTTCCACGCGCTGCATATTCGCGCGTCCTGTACCTGCTGATAATCGTCCGTGAAATCGTCCCGGGACCTGTCGAAGTCGCGCACGACGCAAAGAGGAAAAAGGTGACGTACCTTTAATCGGCGTCTGATCCACGAGCGGTCCACGTTCACGATCGGGAATTCGATAACCGGGGAGGGGGGGGGGAGACAGAGGGGGCAGAGACAAGCGGGACGAGAGAGGATCGGGGGAGCGAGGGCTGGAAGGAGATCACGACATACCGTGAGCACGAGGAATGCCTCCAGCTGGATTCCCCGGAGCCAAAATCACTCAAACCGATCGAACGCAGCCGCTCCCGTGGGAAAATCATTTGCCTCGCTATTTGTGGACTTTGCGATTTCCAGCGAACTGGCGAGATCCCGTTCGCCGATCGAGCGCATGATCCTTATGATCCTCCGATCTTATTCGATACATAACAGACCCGTTTACGGCCTACAAGTAACATTACTAGATCGACGACTAGAAAAGCATCCGATATTCAATTCTTCCTCTTCGAACACGCGGACAAAATTCGCTGCGAGACACGCGATATCCCCCCTTATTGCACGTCCTGAGAAGGCCGTTTCACCGCATAAACTTTCTAATTCGCTGACCGGCCGACGAAAAGAAATCCGTCTCACTTGACACATTTAGTCGTTACACGACCCGACGCCCTAATGATAACCGCTTATGGCGATCGCAGAGAAATTGGCGAGCCGCGTCGATCGTGTATAATTCCGCTGCCTTTTCCAGCGCGACCTGCCTAATGAGTAATTCCGTGGATGACTGGGTGAGCGGCGACGCGGTCGTCTGCAACGGCATCCCGGGGCTGACGAAGGAGCAGCGCGAGCTCTGCCACGTGAATCCCGATGTGACCGTCGCGGCGCTCAAAGGGCTGCAAATGGCCGTGTCCGAGTGCCAGTATCAGTTCATGTGGCACAGGTGGAACTGCTCGTCCCTCACGCCCAGCAGCAGGACCCAGCAGAGCAGTGTTCTCCTTCAACGAGGTATGTACCGCGGGAACACCGCGAGAATACGTAACACTTAACGAGCGAGATTATCTGATCAGATCCGACGACCCGTGATTAATAATCCGCCGGTCCGCTAATGGCGAATTAATGTTTCCTGGATCATTAAATTCGTCGCGGTTCGCGCCATAAATACAAATGAGCGAAACACGTAAGACTCCATTAAGGGAGTCTGAAACGCGACCGGCAAAACCGCGCGAAAAACGAGAATCCTTTTCTTCTTTTTCTTCATTTTCTTTTTCTTTCGTCATGAACGCCTTGGAACAATGCATTCTCGGGCAGACACTTTTTTTCTTTTCGAGCGATTTTTCTGCCTAAGCGAAACATTATCATAAATCATCCGGTATAATACATCATTTTTGCGGACAAAAATACCATTGGCTCGTCTACCTGCTCGCTCGATCGGCACCACGGAAGCTCACCGGACAATAACAAAATCATTTACTACCGCTAAAAGTCTGACTCATTTTTGCGCCAGTAAGTATTAGAGAGTTAGAGCCGCGACTGTCGGCTGAATCTCCAACTTCCAAAAATAGCATCTCCCTTTGTACACGTTGCGTTCGACCGCGCAAAAAACGCGCGGGATATGTTAAAAAAGTCGGGTAGGACTGGAAACTTCCACTCGGTGACGTTTCGCATCCATGCACGAGCGAAAGTCCTGGATGATTCTTCATGGTGCAATCGCTGGATACGGCAACGGCTTCCACGGAGAGCACAAAGTGGAATCTTTTACGACGTCGTTGACGAGACGGCGGCGTAGGTGAGGCGAGGCGAGGCGAGGCGAGACGACGCGTTTCCTTAAATCAAAGCGCACGGTGTAACCTACCTACCCGCGCGCGGCAGGCCCCGAAAACCTGTCCCAGTTCCATAAGAAGAGCCTGCCCCTATGGCCGGCCTATTCCGGTGTGACATATAAATTCGTCGTGGCGCGTACGTGCGCCGAAAGAGGAAACATATATCGTGTCGGACGAATGCGCGAGAACGCGACATCGGGCGCACCTGACCTGAAAGCTTAAGCCCGCTTCGCGGGCCCGTCCGTCCGACCCCTCGTTATCTGCCTCCGTGGATCGGTGCTACGCCTTTTCTTGCCCGCGAGACAGAAGGAGGTGTCGATTCCACGACTTTTTCGAGAGTTATGTAAAGCGACCCGCCCGCCCGCCCGGCCGATCGTGGAATTCTAACGAGACCTTCGGGACGCACGTAACGTCCTTTTTCACGTTTCGCGACTCGCAGCTCCGTTCCCACCGACATTCATTTGCCGCCCTTCCGAGCAGAAACGCCGCCGCCGGATGCCGCTCGAGAAATGATTCAATGTTTGTAATCTCGCGGGACCGCCACAACGACAGCGGTCACAACGATTGACAGCGACCGGTGCAACAATCCGGAGAGCAATTGCGGTTGTTGTCCGGTTCTACCAGTGATAATCCGCCACTCTATCTCAGCACAATGCGTCTTGGAAAGACTCGCTTTCCGCTTGGAGTCCCTTTCGTCGTGTGCGACAGACGTGATGCATTTAACGGCCGCTTGAATTTTTGCGAGAATGTTTGCGTGCGACGGAAATTGTGTGCGTGGGAGACCGAGTGTACGAAGAAGGTTCGATTCACCGATTATCCGTAACATCGACAACAACTGGCGGGTCATTATTAGATTTTGCTCGTCGTCGAGTCAGAGGGCAGCAGCTTCCGAGAAGCGCAGGACCTCGCGCTGTTCAAGTATCGCTCGCCCAATCCCGGCTTCCTTGCTTTTCGAGGTAGAGACTTCGGTGGCCAGGTGAGAGGACGGTGTCCGCGCGACCATTCGACAAATCCACCGTGTCAAATTCGGGCCTCGGCATCTCGTGGAGAGCCCGTTCACCGAGCTAAGTCACTCGGACACGGTCCTCTCGCCCTCTCATTGCTCTCAGCACGACCCTGCTTTCCTCTGCCGCTCTCTTCTCGGACGTCTCTTTCTTTCCACCTCTCGTCACGACTTCGCTGGGCTTTCGGCAAAACGACTTAATGTATTGTGAAAAATACACGAAACCGACATTTGACCGCTGCGACGGGGTCGCACGGCCCACACAAGGAGACGAGTAGACCCAACGCTCATTCGCGTTACCGACTTGTTGACGGCGCATCACCGCCGACAGGATTTTCAATCGTAAATATGGAAATGCCTCTAACGTCCGAGTGTGCGTGGCGGTTCCTTCTTCTCCCATTTTCTCAGGAGCCAGTCACTCAGAGTCGGTTTTTTGACCTCTCGCCCAGGTTAGGATTCCGGGACGTCGTGGGGTCTATCCACGAAGATGCGCTCGATTAACGGACATGATGGAGCTCGTTAAGGGTCTTTCACGTAAAAAGCGAAAACGAAGGTCAAGCTGGCCGAGACCTGGCCCGTAAGCCAATCGCGCGTCGATCACCCTCCGTATTAATTAAGGGAACGACATCGTGCGCATCCGTGTGCAAGAGTAATAAGTTACTTTTCGTCCGAATCGGACAAAGACGCCATTAATTGACCGAACTCGTTGTACCGGTTTCATTAATACGCCTGTAGTCCGCAGCAGCACGAAGCAGGACGACACTGCCGACGTTCTTGCGCGAGTTGCCTGCGTTCGCGCGTACGCTATCTATTGAGTCATCCGAGTCCCCGATTCGCGGGTTCGACCAGCTCTATCTACGATAAAAATGCCTCGACACCGCGTATATCGCAGATTAAAATACCCAATCAAAGCGCGACGAGTCGCGCGAGGAAACAATCGAGCGATCGGACGAACCGAATTAATTCTTCGATATTGACCGCGTCAGTCCTGTAAAGAATTCTGCGGATATCCTGCGTATCTCTCATATGGTGCACTCATATGGTAAGATGACGACTCGACGACGCTGGCAGGATTGAACTCGTTCGTTCACCCGCATCGTTCGATTCCGCATCTCCGGAATACGCCGCCGCGTTCCTGGAGGACACGCGTGTCCTCGCGAAGACCTCCCGAGTGCTATCTATTGAGTTATCTAAATACTGATCCGGGCCTGACACGCGAGAGAGTAGCGCAGGACCCGCGCACCATCCGTCACTACGTCGAGCCGCGGCGAGGCGAGGAGGCGAAGGAGCGCGGAGACTACTACCGCGCGTTCCTGGAGATTCTTCCCTGCCCTCCGCCTCTCGGCGGGCTCTCTCCGTGGCTGTCCCTGGGAGCGAGGAAGAGAGAAAGAGACAGAAGAGACGTACAACTCCCCGCGGAGGATTTATTACGCGTCCCCTCCGCTTCTCTCGCTGTCGAGAAACAGCGGCGATCTCGCGGCACGGTAGCTATCTGCATTATAAAACAGTTGCTGCCAATAGCCGTATATAGCGAAAGCTCCCAACGATTCCTCCCACCACCGTGGGACCATATAAAGGGACCCTCCTTCTCACCCCCTCGTGCCGCGACTCCTTCTCCAGCCTGACCGCGACGCGCGCGCGCGCGCTCCTCTTCGCCGTCGAGAGGGTTAGCATCCTCGGCGACGCGGCGCGTGATACGCGGCTTTGGACTCGCGGTGCTCGTCGGGAACCCCGACGATCCACCCTAGGTTCTCATTCTCCATGGCTCTCATTCCTATCGGCCCGCTGAATCTCCTCAAGAAATGTCTCCTCCCGGTCGTCCATGTCCGAAGATCGACCTCCGGGACGATCCTCAGCGGAGGAGGCTCTTTAACGTCGCGCAGCGACGGCCGACGAAGAGCGACGTAATCAGCTGCCAGCTGTCCGACTGCCTCCCGCGCTGAGGGACGGTCAAACGGATCCATTCTGTCGGGCGATCTAGTAAACGGGATCGACAGCGGCCGAAAAGATCTCTCTCGTTGTCGTCGGGTGCCTGACGTCCTGGTGCGCGCGCGGTTGTAAGACGCGGCGACGGGAGAAGTCGCATATTTTATTTCGATTATAGTTGTGTGTCGCGACCACGTTGTTGAGAACACTCGTATCGAATGAGCACGATCGAGCTACGCTCTTACGATTTTCAACTTCAAGGGGAGAGAGAGAGAGAGAGAGAAAGAGAGAGGACAACCGTCTCAGTTTCGAAACTCAAAGAGTCGGTGCGCTTCTACGTGGTATCGTTTGTAAGTTGACAGCCACCACCGCCGCTTCGAAAGCAGCCGTCCGTCAATCGCGTCTGGACGACGTCCCAGAGATCTTGGGAGACCTTGAAGGACCCAGAGAAAAACTGCATTTGACGTCGCATTACTTATCCGCGGTGGGCCACGGCCTAACTTTGTGCAACAAGCTCTGCCGTGCAATGTCTACCTACGTATTTCGTCGTACTTTCTCTCCCTTCGATATCGAATATCGCGGGAACATACGTTACGAACTCGTACGTTACAATTTCGTTCGAGTGTTCATCACGCTCGCAAGTGTGAAGGAGTCGGCTGAGAGGATTCGGTTAGTTCGAGAAGCGATTTGCGTTGCAATATTGTAACTAATCTTATCTTATCTGTCAAGCGCTCGTGTGAAGTTCGATGAAAACTGCGGATGGGACGCGGAAGAATGAAGATTGTCGAAGTTTGCCCGGGAGGCCCGGAGGCCGAGTGACGCGACGATTTCCGCGCGATTTCCGCGGGAGAATCGGGCGAGAAATCGGCCGATTTGTCCGCGGGTGACTCGCGGAGACAGAGTTCGGCGTCGCGTCTTCAGGCACCCCGTCGCGAGATCGTTTATACATGCGGACAGTGGATGCCCGCCGGCCGCCGTTGCTGATGGCCGCGCTTTGTTTTGACGGACGGCTGAATAATCTACCTCTGAACTGCGTCTGATGGCTGTCCGTCCCATCTGTCGGCCCGAGCTCGCTACCGAAGTTCCTTCTAAGGAAGCTCGGCTTCACCGGTGTCCCGCTGTTTCATGCTCATTCCTTTGCTCGCGAGAGGAGAGAAGCGAATGCGATATCGCAGCCTTGCGTATATTATCCGCCAATGCCGCCGTCGTGCCTCTCGCCAGCGTCGCCGACGACGAGCGGCAATTTGCTGACTCTCGACAGAGACGATCGCAGAACGGACGGACGAGAGTGTCTTTCCCGATGCCTCGATGCGTCTCTCAAACAATTGGCCGCCGGTACTTGAGGATTCTGAATCGGAGTTGTATTACCTCGACGCGCCCCTGCTCCGTCGCGATCGGAGGACTGGACGTTCGATCGAACGGTGCAAAACGTGCGGTAAATTAAATGGAGAAGCAAATAGCATCGTCTATTCGCGGCTGCTCGGGGCGGTCTTAAAATTGCGAAATGTCCTACGTCCCGACATTTTTACTTCAAAATGACGGGAAAAATTCGTGGGAGATTCGTGGCAGACTGTATATGTTAATTCGAAAGCTAGGTGTCGCGAATCTCGTAAATCACAAATCGCGGAATAACAATGTAATATCGACGTGAATAAACATCGATGGCGGGATTTTATCGCGACTACCCATCGGGAATTGTTCTGCTTCGCAGGCTACAGAGAGACGGCCTTCGCCTACGCGATTTCGGCAGCTGGCGTGGCTTACAACGTGGCTCGTGCCTGCAGCATGGGCCGCTTGCTCTCCTGCGGCTGCGATCCTTCAAACTACAGGGGTAAAACGCCGGCGAAGGCCAGAGGCGTCCAGTGGAAGTGGGGCGGTTGCTCTCACAATCTCGACTACGGCATAGAATTCTCGAGACAGTTCCTAGACACGCGGGAGAAAGCCGGCGACATACAGTCTACAGTGAATCTACACAACAATCAAGCCGGTCGTCTGGTAAGCGCTACTTTCGCAACTCCGTCGTCGTGGTTAAACTCCGGATGTGAGCGTGACATCCGTTAAACAGCGGATATTTGAGCGTATACCTCTTCCCCTGAGAAGATAAAACAAGATGGGAAACAAATATTAGACGTCCCGTATTATTCTTATTTTCACCGCGTAGCTGTCTGTACAACCGCGTCAGCTCTTCTTTAAGAGGCCTTTAGGCTAACGAAGATACGCGATCGCGGAATCTTGGATAAAGTTCCTCGAAACATCAAATTGACGGGGACTTTTTCATTATTACCGTAGCAACAAAGTTTTCCATTCGATTGAAAGTCTCTCATTTCCTGCTTAAAATTTTTTCCAGCTATATGTCACGCTCGATTCTGTTCTCTCCTTCCTCCGACGTGAAAGAATTCGAGACGCATCTTAAGCATCTTGAGCAACTCGAGAAATATCGTAACGACCTCCGTGTACATACATATACACAGACTATCCCACGGTAAATGATGCACCATCCTGAAGCAGACGCGCGCAAGAAATGTACCGTTAAACGGTCGGCGGGGAATCCCGAGGAAGCGAATTCGCAATCGCGTGCCGCGTCCGCCCGCGAATAACGTAGCGCGCACGCCACGCCGCCGCGTCCTGCCGCGAGTCCTGCCGCGTGAGAGTGCGGCTTCGAGTTATCCTGCGCGCGCGGTTCTCCTTTCTTCGTCCTTCCTTCTCCGTTCTACCTTTCCGCCGGCTTTTACTTTTTAGCGGTGCGTGCTCTTCTTCCCTCCCTCCCGGCGTCGCGAGAAAGGGAGAAAAAGAGGATGCAAAAAATAAAAGGAAGGAGAAACAAGGAAGGAAGGAGACAAGGAGGGAGAAAGAGAGAGCAGAAAAGGGCAGGAGGAAGAGAGAGAGAGAGAGAGAGAGAGAGAGAGAGAGAGAGAGAGAAACCCTCTCCTCCTTTCCTCCGCGGACCTCTCCATGCTCGCTCTCTCGCCTCGACGTTATTAAGACGAAGCCCCAGGCTGGACCACCCAGCCGTAGACTCATTAACTGTTTTGTACGCGACACCTCTTTGTTTAAAAGAAACTAGACCCTCCCCTTTCTCCTTTCTCTCTCCCTCCCCCTGCCTCCAACCCTCCTCTCTCTCTCTCTCTCTCTCTCTCTCTCTCTGTTTCTTTCAATCTCTCTATCTTAATCTCTCTCTGTCTCTCTCTCTCTCTCTCTTTTTCCTCTCGTCTCTCGCCCTCGCCGTTGACCACCCTGTGCACCCTGCGCATCCGAGCGACTCGTACCTGTTTGTACAGCGTGTTAGAACCGGCGTTTTTCAGCCGAGACGTCGCAACGGCGGTATCGCGGATATCGCAATCTGAGGGAAAGATTCGATTCGGCCCGCCTCGTCCGCCGGGCCGAAGGCTCGAACGGCGACGGAAAGGCTGCGCTCGAGCGTGGCAGACATAAATGAAAAAGTCGATCGACCGTTTCGTATAAAATCAACCGACGCGGTGGCGACTTCTCGGCGTAATTTTGTCGCTCGGAATTGTTGATACGCGGTACCTCGGCGACACCTCGGCTCTTCTTCCTTTTACTCTACGAGGCTCATCCGCAGAGTGTAATGTACAGTAATGGACAGTAACATCAAAGAGGAAAATGTTATCAAAAAAATCTTTCATCTCTTTATTCTTCGCTATGAAATATGTTGTGTGAAAGTACGGGGTAAAGCGATCTGAAGTTCAAAATAATGCATAACTGTGAAAATTACTCTCCGCGGATGAACCTCGCGTAAATTCCGGCATCAGCTCGGGCCTCGTGTAATAAACTTTCGACAAAAGAACAGTTCTTAGCGAGAGAGTCATTTGCAGGAAGAGTCATCAAGACGCGTCGTGTCGCGCATTCACACGCGAAGCTTACGACGACAACAACACAACATATGAATGTTTACACACGATTGCAGGCGGTGGCGAAGAACATGCAGGTGCGCTGCAAGTGCCACGGCATGTCCGGCTCGTGCGAGCTGAAGACCTGTTGGAAAGTCGTGCCCGATTTCCGGCTAGTCGGCAAGGTCCTGAAGGACCGCTTCAGGAACGCCGTTCTGGTGACGCAGAGCAACCTGGGCAGCGTGACGCCGACCATGAAGAATCGCAGCTCCCGTCGGCGGAGGCTCGAGCGCCAAAGGCGACGGAAGAGTCGCGTCGATGAGCCCGCGGGAGGCCGCAAGAAGAAACAGCGGAGCCTCGCGAAGCAGCTCTTTTATTACCAGAAGTCGCCGAATTTCTGCGAACGGGACCCCGCGGCCGACATAGCCGGCACCGTCGGCCGCAGGTGCAACAAGACCAGCACCGGCGGCGACGGCTGCGGCAGCTTGTGCTGCGGCAGGGGTTACAACGTGGTGCGACATCGGCGGACCGAGCGGTGCAACTGCCAGTTTCGCTGGTGCTGCTTCGTGCATTGCCAAAACTGCACGGTGGACGAGTGGATCACGGTCTGCAAGTAAGGCAGCTCTCGGAGGAAGAGGTCGAAAAGGACGAAGGTTTAAGACTGACGAAATGTCGAGCCGGTGAACGCCGTTCGTTCCGCGAGCGGCTCGAAGCGGATCGGCGGAGGTCGAAGGAGAGCGGACGTTGACGGGTTCGCGCGGTCTCTCGAGATGATAAGAGAAGCAATTAGTTATCTCTAGTGGACGCGCGAGACTGTGCTCGTTCGCTCGTTCGATTGTAGGATGTAAGACGATAGGATTAAAGATACGGTTCTTATTGAAGTCGAGAAGTTATACACCAGCCACACGAATTTCTCCTGGGCGATCGAGATCGGAGAGCGAATCTCTCTCTCTCTCTCTCTCTCTCTCTCTCTCTGTCTTGCCCTCTCTTTTCTCTCTACTGGCTTCGCAGAGCTCTGCGAACGTATTAGAAACGTAATACTCCTCGTTAGCGAGATTAAATCCGATTTCTACGAGAAGTGAAACCCCTGTGAATTCGATCGTAATGCAATGCTTTGTTTTCTCGGCGGCGTGTCGTCTCTGTCACGGGTCAGCACGTTAATTGCGCTATTCGAGAGTCCGTATTAATGTTTGCGACACGACAGTAAAACGGCAAGAGAGGCTTGTCCATCATTGAAACGTCCAAATCCAATTTCTGCGTAAACGACCGTTGTTGCAGTGAATCCGTCGCGACTGACGCAGATCGTATTCTATTTACTCAAAGCCCCTTGCGCGGATATTATATTTCGTACCATCGATACTTGACAGTTGTATCTGCGAGACAATCTGATCAGGAGCGGCAAGGATACTTGAATCAATGCAGATGTTCAACGAGATCGCACTAGAAAGGAATTTACATTTCGCTCCGCAACGCTCCGCAATAACGCGAGTAATAAAGAAGAACGATTTATACATAGACTAAGCGAACCCTATAATTTATTTATAATGGCGCCCTATTTAATTGATATTTAATTTTAACTTCTACGTGAACTGTAACACCTCCATCACAGTATTATTAGACAAGACTCGTGCCTCGTTCGACGCGGGCACGGTTGTATACAATTTAACAATGCGCGTACAATAAAGAGAGTTCCTTTAAACGACGCACATCGCACGTTTGTCTCCGGATGTCCTTTTCGAGTTACTGTACCAATGTCTGGTCGGCACGAGCGATTTATCTCTCAAGTGCGTGCGATTGTCTCGCGAGCAGAAGTGAAGACAATGAGAGCGATACTTTGCGTGTTTTCAGAGTCTCTTTCCGACTTTTTTGCCTTGCCCACCGAATTGCGCGCACGACCTCCTTCCTTATCGATCACCGTCTTAAATGACGGCGCTTTAAAACCTCGGGAAAATCTGTGCCAATCCCATCTTTACCGAGAAAAAAATACGCATTTCAGCTAAGCCACGGAATTTCCAACAATGAAAGCTAATTGTCTTACCGCGTCGTTCCTAATTATATTCCTGTCTAGCAACGTACTGGCGACTATCACTATCGATGATATCACCGGACGACATCATCCGGTGAATTCCTCGGTTTCGACAGTGTTTTCGCGCAATGTTCATTGCGAGTCGCTCCGGAGTTAAAAAAAAAAAAGTTCGCTCTTGAAATTTAAAAAATCGCTCGATATCGCGTTAAAAACGTCTTCGATATGTTATCTGTTCGTTTTTCTCGTATTTCCAACAGACCTCGCGATCGGGTTCACTCTCGATTCTCGTGACTATAATTCAGACCGCAACACGGATAAGTCGATACCGTACGGGTGTCGTCCTTTGATTCGAGCCGCCAATAATCCCGAAGTGTGACCGGTACAAGCTTTATCGTGCGATCGGCGATTCGTCTTTTGCTCGGACGATCGACAGGGCCGGGCGGAAAAAGCGCGAGAGGGGTGGCGGGTCGCCGCAAAGGGTCCGGAATGAAGGAAGGGAGGACAGATGGACGGACGGACGGACAGTAGGTAGGTAGGTAGGTAGGTAGGTAGGTAGGTACGCGCCGAAGATGAAGCGGAGAGAGAAAGAGCTTATTGATTTTGTATGAGACGATGAACGGCGCGAGCGAGATGGCCAGAGATAAGTTCCGCGATTCGCGCGACTCGTACGTGATCGGCACGGGGATGGCCCTCATAAGCGTCGGGCCACCGGACGACGACGGTCGCGGTCGAGAATCCGCCATCGCGCCATCAACCTCCCACGACATCCGCGACATATTCCCGACGGCAAAATTTCCCCTTTCCTTTTGTCACCTCGCGCTGCGGTAACATATTAAATTAACGAATTTAATATTCATCTGTTTGTCGCATTATCCCGTCGCATTATCTTGCAAAAGCAGCTTCTAAGCGCTCTTCGAGGGCGAGGCAAAGATTGGTAAGATCGACGCGAAATCGCGATTTCGTTCTTTGTTCTTCGGTGCGACCGGTGGCAACGTTCGAGTGCCGATCGCTCGTCATAAACCGCGGGTGATTACCGAGTTATTTTTAACCTCACGGGCGAAAGAGGGCTAATTACTTTTTTATGGGCTCCCGGGGATATCGGCGCGTAACAAACTACCAGGTTGACGACGCGGAGAAATGCACAACAAAGTGGGCAGGATGCGCGCCCGCCGCCGGTAAAAGGACGAAATCCGGGGAAGCGGTCGCGCGCGCGGCAAGAAGGCGCGGTAAGGCGCGCATCCGCATTAACTGCACGGCCCCGCGAACGGCGAGCGGCTCCCTTTGACGGCGACAGAGGCCACGACGACCCTGAAGAAGCCGCGATAAAGCGCATTAATTTATCGCGCGCCCTCCCCCCTCGGAGGAGATCTTGCTCCGAGGTGCATTGATCCAAAGAACGAGATTAGAAGCGAGCGAACGCGCACGGCGCGATTTCTTCTCTCTCGTTCTCCTTTCTTCTCTTTCCTTTTTCTTCTTTTATTTATTTATCGTTGAGTGTCGAGAGGGCGCACGCACACACGCAACCGACATTACGCGGGTATGCAACAGCGGCGGTGTGAACACTCGAATCTCGTAACTTTCATAATGTGAGAGAGAAACTTTCATTACGTAAGACACGAAGTTTTGAGCACACGATAGAAGTTCCCGACTAAGAGAATTGTAAGAACGGCAATTTCACTCCGCGCTAAGCATTCTAATTGAAATATATATACCGGCGAAGAATGCTGTTCAATAAAAGCCTCGCTGCTCACGAGATAAGATAAACTTCGCATTAAAGTAGCATTAGCTCTGCGTATAGTCTGCGACAATGCGACGGGATAAAGAGCGGCGGGCGGGATTGTTACCGAGGCAAAAGGTGACGATCGTATCACAGTATATATATATATATATATATATATATATATATAGCTTCGCCAATTTCTCTGGAGCGCCTTATGAACAGAGATATCAAGACGTCTGTCGATAAGCGAGCGCGCCGAGAAGCGCGAACTTATTAAGTGGATTCCGATCCGAATAAGCAATCTGAATGGGGGAGGACGAGCGAGGGGAGAGCCGAAGACGACCATCCGTGCATCGGGAGCGATTGCCGAAAGGGCTTAGAATGAGCTTTGTAACGACGGATAAAAGAGGAAATGGATCTCCGACGAGGGTGGAAAGGGGGAAGAGTGGCAGAAACGAGTGGACGACGGTCTGGCGAGCGAAATCAATGAGGCTAACAGGCTTGCGAGTTAGCAGTCAGCTAATTAAGTCGGCGTTATTGGATCACGGAAGCCAAGCATCGCGGGGCGGCGCGCGCGCGTCCCTCGGCCACGTAGATCGCGGCAACCACCCCACACGAGAATGCGTCGTAGTGCACTTAGTCAGGCCGCGCTAGCACTGCGAGGGTGGACGCCGCGGGGCCTGCACGACCTGTCAGACGTGTTTTAATTAGAGGTGAGTTCTGAGTCGCGCGGGACGGCTCGAGAAGGAGAGAGAGTCGCGTCCCTTTACGTAAGTAAAGTATTTTCGTGCACCCTCCGCGTAACGGGAAGCAGCCGCCGCCGCCGCCGCCGCCGCTTTCATCGCGCTACCACGCCTACCGTGCCGCGAACGGATCGAGGACGGGAAAGGTCGCGCATACGCGAGAAATAACGAAGTTGAGGAGTGACAAGTGCGACAGGACGAAGAGTAATACGCGGCCTGTGCAATCGGTTCTCGGACAAACGGAACAAAGTATGTCGAGATCGAGCTAGGCGGGCTTGTGTTTGCGGGTAATCTCGTTCTCTTCATTTCGTGGAGGAAAAGGGGAGAGAGTCAGGGATGATTGGTTTAATGAGTTGCGGTGGCTTTGAGAACTTGCCGCGGAATGAGAATTTAATTTTTAATCAAGTATCGTGAATTTACCGCACGTTACCGCGATATTTGTCGTTTCTTTTATTTTTGAAAGATGCAAAAAACGCCGAACACGAGCGTGGAATAAACAGCGAGGAAAACGAGGATTTCGCCATATTTCGCAGCATGCATTTTTTTTTTTATTATGGAAAGAGCAGAAAGAGGAGAGAATCTTGAAAGAAGAGAGCGGTGCATTCGACGGTACCAAGACCAGAGACTAATGTCTCTCGCCTATAGATGCATCGAAACAGGCGTTACCCCTGTTCAAATCAACAAAATCACGCATTGTAAAAACGAAAACCGCAAGTGGTCGATCTGTTGCATCGATCCTTCTGACAACGACGTCGATGAACGATAACGCAAGCGGCAGAAAGCCGAGGAAAGCCGCGTCCCCGCGGAGCCCGCGTCAACTTATGCGAGTCCAGAAAAGCATAGCGGGAAGTTAAATGTTGCATGAGCTTCGACGAAGAGAACACCGACGAGGGAAACGACGAGATTCCCGGTATCGATTAGCCCGCTGACGGAAATAACGAGCGTACACGCTCGCGGCGATTTTTCGCGAGCCGAGAACGCGCGAGAACCGCGACACCTCGGGCACGGAGTCGACGAGCAGGTTGACGCTTTATCTGCCGAAAGCATCGACCGATGGACGTCTGTAAAAGGGACAGGGCGAGCAGCAAGAAAGCACCGCGTAAGGTGTCCTCCGTCTTCGAGACGGGCGCCCGCTTTTACGTCTCGAGTAGTTCGCGGCAGGAACGCGAAAAGAGCCCGAGCCGTGCTTCATTCTCCCGCAAACGCATTGCACAACCTGCATTGTGAATGAGACGAACTTAAACGACGCAAACAAAATTTTAAGCGACACTACCTTTCCGTAGAATACAAAGTGGGAAGAAATTATTCGGCCGATAAAGGTGTAACGATAAGCTGCTCAAATGTTCTTTTTGGACAAACATTCGGAGAGCCAGATTTCTCCCGGAATATTCCCATCGCACTCTCGGTGACGATCGAAGAGAGAGAGAGAGAGCGCGATATAAACATATAAACGACGCTACGCAATGTGCCGAAGACGCACGTTTCTTGCACGGACACGGAGAGACGCGAGCGAACGAGCGAGCCACTTGTCACTGGTTCACCGCGGCACTTTCCGGCGGGAGGAGTGTCGAACCCTTTTCAACTGGTCCGGTTGGGTCCGACAACGTTTTCGGTCTCTCCTGCCCTTTCTCTCTCTCTCTCTCTCTCTCTCTCTCTCTCTCCCTTTTTCTCTTCTCCTTTCTTCTCTTTTTCCCTCGACCATTACTACCGTTGCCGTTTCTTCCCAGGGACTCGCGGTGCTAACATTCCGCCGTGGCAGGCGATCGTCCACCGCATCGCAGGCCAAACAGATATCAACTTTCCCACAGCTGCTTTTTCGAGAAGCGAATGCGCGGAACGTGGCCTCTGTCCTTCCTCTCCTCGGCGATTTCGCAGAAACGCACGGATGCCGGAAGACCCATTGATTCCTACACGTCAAGTACGACAGTAGTCATGTGGGAAATTCGGCAGACGTAACAAACTAGCGATTGTTTCTCGATTCGGCCCGATCGGATGGTACATTGATCAACCTCGGGGAGTTGTTCAATTTTGTTACGCGATGATTTAATTTCTAGAATATACCGTCGATCAATTTTACTAACAACTTGAATTTAGAATGAGAAATACAGTCGGAGAGTATGACTAAAATATACAATTAATCGAGAGTAGAGCCGAAAAGTCTACTACGATAAATATCATGGAGAATTGACAGGAGATAAACGGGTGTCGCCCGTTTCTTGGAAGGAGAAGACTCGAGCTTGAGAAGATCGGTGATTGCGAATTCATCACTGCCACACTTGCAGTGGTTCCTCGTACATATCGCGCGGAACTTTCTCACAACGTGCGTTTCGTCGGCCCGCGGATCTTCCTTCCTTTTAAAGATCGCGGGGTCGAGTCCACCTCGGTCGCTTAATACGCAGAGGAGAAGGAGCGAAGAGCAGGGTGAGAAGGAGAGACGGAAAGACCGGCGACGGACGCGGCGAGTGACGCGGAAAGCTTTTTTCTGAAATCACAGGACTCGTCCTCGTCCTCCAGCTCCTCCTCTTCCTCCTCTTTCACCTCTCCTTCTTCGTTGTCTCGCGGCGTGCAGTCGGGCATCAATAATTTAGCGCCCCGTCGTATCAATAAACTTGCACCGACACCGGCGCAAAGCGAAGAGAAAGGCGAGGAAGGACGAGGCCAGGACGAAGAGCGAAGGTGCAAACGGAGAGACAGAGGCAGGAAGATCCTGGAGAGCGCCGGCAGAGGAACCGAAGGGGGAGAAAGAGGGGGATGAAGGACGGAACCGCGAACGCGAACTCCGGTTCGAGTGGCTTTTCTTACGGCCGTTCACATATAGTCAGTGACGCGCCGTCCTCTCGCTCGAGTCGCTCTCCTTCTCGCCGACTCGATTACAAGCGGCAAGAAACGACATTACACGGGACACGCCGCGCCGACAAATCGATGGATTATGCCGGACGGGCGCCGACCTACCGGGAATAAATGAATTGGCTAACGACGTGACTCCTCTCTTTTCTCGCCCCGCGTATGTCCTCGCGTTTCCCTACCGACGTGCCGCGGAAACAGGATTCTAAGCAGACTCGCGGAAATTCAAGGGCGCGCCGTGACGGGGCGAGCACGAGTTCGCAAAATGACTCTTCGCAGGAGGAGCAAGAGCGCGACGTTCGGCTGTCGGAACGGTGGAGGAAAATCGCAATAAAAACGCAATAAAAGCTACTTGATATATGTTATAAACGATGATGAGTGTAGAATGTGCAGCCGTGGTAAAACGAAAATTATACCGGTACATCCTGCGAATTTCGGAGAAAAAAGAAAAGTTTCGTTGTCTGCGAAACCCTAATTACGCCGATTACATTTAAGACCGAACAATAATCCTGTTAGAAACGGCACACTTTCTCGAAGCTTATCAACTGCGTCCTTACGAACCGAGGGAAGAACGGAAGCGATCGGAATAACTCGTAAATGGATTACGACAAAGCGTGCGCGCGATGAGGAGAGCATTTCAAAATGAGAGCATCTAAAAAGGGAAAAATTCATCGGGAGAGAAAAACTTGCCGGCGGTTTTTCATTTTCCGAGAATGTTTACCGCCCTAACGAGAGCGAGTGAAAAATATTCACCGCTCGATTCTACGTCGTCGTGCACGTGTTTGAAATAGTTTTACGTAATTCATGAGATGCGACGAATGAGCAGATATCCACTTACAACATTTTCGCAACCCTACAAGTTTTGGTGTTCACGTGACCGTAACCGTGACCGGCGAGTAAATAGCAAACTAAATTAGTCAGTCGCGTCTTGAAGAAAACATTGACATGTTTGTTTGACAGACTGCATACGTAAACTAAGATTTATCTTGATCCGCGACACGTCAGATAACTGACAGGTGCATAGCACTGAGCGTTAAAAAAGTTAGAGTGTTAAAGTCAGAATGTTAAAAAAGTTAAAGTTAAAAAACTTGAATTAAAAAATTAGGATGTTGTCAGAACGAAGGATCGTGATAAATGATAACGATTACTTGATTGTTGAACAATTTGTTTCCACTGTATGCAATAACGCGAAATTTGACTTGAAAATTACGAACCGAACGTTTGGCTGACTCGTTACAATAATAATATCCCAAGGTATAGCAAATATTCATTTCACACAAAAGTAATGGGTTCATCATACCTGCTGGCAATATTGGCTATCATATGACAAGTTAAAAAAGAATGCAACGTATATAAAAATCGGCGGATTCGTCTTAGCTCTTTGAGCAGAAGGAATGCGATTAAATCTCGGCGCACGGGTTTAGTGTAATTCGATTAAAACGTACAGCCGATAAATAGGCAGGGATGCGAGTCAGGTTCGCGGCGGAGGACGCCCCTCCGATCCTTTCTTCGCCCCATCCTTCTCCGGCAACGCCCGCCGAAGCTTTCAGGAAGCAAGCTACTAATTAACGATTACCACTCGTTCACGGGGAACTCGAGAGGGAATATAATTAGCACTCACCTTTGTGAGCCGGGGCGCTGCTAAAACACTCGATCGGCCGATCCTGACGTCTCTTAAAATATTCCAAGAGCGTTCGGAGAGTCATCCTCGATCTTGTGCGACTTGATCACGAGGGGAGAGACGTCGATCGTGATTTTTCGAGAATGCGAAGTGATACTTCTTCATCGTCACATCCACTAACGATCATTGGCTGAAAGAAGAAAAGCATAAATTGATTCATCGAAGAATCACAGAGAAAATTTGATGCAACGTACTTTGTTTAAGATACAGTCCATGGACGTTGTTACTATCAAATTAAAAAAGAATTGATATATATTTTCAGCCATCTTCTTGAATTACGATAATTAATATGTCAGATACTGTTTTTAAACATTACATTCATCCCATACTAAACATTTTTCTCATTGGTAATTATTATCATACGTTGTAAAATGATCTTTGTAATCGTAACTTGGACAATTCTCATATATTTCAGGTCGTAGATCTGCAAAATGAACGATTTCGGTTACGGAAAACGGAGAGTGAACAACGACCGGCGCGGTAACGCACGAGATGAACAGGACGAGATGGAGAATCGAAGCAGAAACCAAGACGGGAAGTCTGCGACTTTTAAACGGATGGATAGCATTCAGGATCCAGGGAAGAGATATGCGTTGAAGGATCGCATCGGTATCGGCGTATGTGGCGAGGTTTACGAAGGAATCGATCAGCAGGCTGGTATGTAACGAGAAGATGCGCGTAGACCAATCTAGTTTGAAATATTTGAAGACATTTACGCATGGCATTACGAGTAACCGTGCATCGATTATGTATATATATATGTGTGTGTGTATTTCAGGAAATAAGAAGGTTGCCATTAAGATCCAAAGACTCATGCCGGAAACACAGGCCTTGATCGTGGAGGAATATCGTATTCTTCGTGATTTCGCTGGCCATCCAAACCTGCCGGAGTTTTATGGGATATATCGCAAACGGTCTCCGAAGAAGTCCAACTACGACGAGATATGGTTCGTCATGGAGGTGAGTCTCAGTCAAGATTACGACTGGGCCATAAAACTAAAATGTCAGCTCGTATATAGTTCTTATTACACAATTAGTTGAAGTACAATCTCGTATTTGCACCGCAATCAATTGGTTTTGCTAAGTCCATCCATTTTTTTCCAACTTTTTTTCTTATAAGAGTCAACATAAATGTGCACACATTATTCTCTTCTTCGCAAGTTCACTCCTTTAATATACTTGTCTAATTAGTACGTAACTGTAAGCGGCGATGCGCAACGCGATAGCAACGACGCGCGTTTAATTCGCGACGGCAGCAAGCGGCGTAAGACAATCTAACGCGTATTCGACAGTCAGTTTTCTTCGACTTCCAAAAAGATAAAAGATAAAAGGAGCGTGAACAAAGCAGTCGAGAGAGTCGAGTCGAGCGAGTCAGTCGATCAAGTCGGTCAGCTGTTACGAATCGCGGTCGAGCCGAAGCGGTATAAGTGTCCGAAATTTTATAAAATTGAACACTCTAAATACATTACATTTCACATTGATATTCGCACTTCCAATCGTACCACCAACGTACCAACACGCATCCCCCCCCCATATAACTCACGATACGCGCGCTCGATCGCGTAAGGAACGAGTTAACATCGCGAATAAACGTTTATGGATCTGCGGCTCGATTAATTCAAAGACATGTTATTATTGATGCAATCACCATGATTGCAACCTACTCTACTGAAGGTCGAAAAATCCTAGCCGAGTTTCTATCTAAACCGCGCTATGTATGTAATGAGAAAAGAGTGTGTGTATAACACGCTTCTTTTGACGTCGTAATTCCCCACGAGAAAGAAGAAAAGAGAAAGAAAAAAAAGACACGAGACAGAGATGCAGAATGAAAGACGAAGGCAGAACGAGAGAGAGAGAGAGAGAGAGAGAGAGAGAGAGGAGAGAGAGAGAGAGAGAGAGAGAGAGAGAGAGAGAGAGAGAGAGAGAGAGAGAGAGAGACCAAGGAGGCGAGGGTTGGCCGTGTGTGTACCCGTACTCAGGACCCGGAGGCAATTTCAAGCATTTGAGACCGTCGAATACACGGATAATTTACGACACGCGCGCCCCCATTAAACAATCATTAAACTCGTTCGTGTACGCAGGTGAGGCCCGGCACGTCGCGGCCCTAATTTACGGACGGACCTCCGCGGTGCGCGCCTGAAACATTATTACTTATCTCGGGTAAAGCGACGATAGTTGACGTAATACGCGCGCTCTCGAGGATCGACCGACTTATCTTCGGAATCGGCGTCTTCTCGGCCACGCCTTTGCCTTTCGAAACGCATCGCTGCACCGAACGCTTCACGAAGCTGACCGTGTCGAATTCGGCTACGTCAACTTTCTACAGGGATTTACCCAGCCTCACCGATGAAATACCGCTTTCCCACATCAATATCGCGGAAGACTCGTGTCGTTACGAGAAAAACGCGGGGTTACTTAAAAAAAAAAAAATCGAGGAGGAAAACCGATCGCGTCGAGAAAGCTGCATAATTTTTAATCTAACAGGAGCAATCGTCGTTAGTCCTCCTTTTTCTCGAATTGTCGACAATTCAACCCACGAGTTTCCCTCACACGTCACGCAGAAGCACGTGTGTGTGCGCAATTATACCCCTGACAAATCTCGTTTGTCGCGTATCATCATCGTACTCTCGACACCTACCTTAATGGCGCTCGCGAGAGCCACGTGCATTCTTCACGCGTCGACCACCCGCATGTTCGATCGGCCTGTCCGACGGCGTCGCTCGCGCAAATTCAAAAGCGAAGCACGCGCGAACACGTCGAAAAAAAAAAAAAAACAACGAGATTCGCTGTGAATCTCACGATCCACTTTGGGCCGAGCGAACTCACGTGCGAGCCCGCGGAGAGGCCTAAGTACCTCGCGACTAAGAAACGTAATGAGTCGCTGCTCGCTAACGTTAAGTTCGTTGATTGCTCGTTGTCGGAGATTACAAGCAATAAAGGCGCAACGACGGCTCGCGAATGTGCGCCGATGTGTGCGAGGCAAGAGCAGAGGGAAAAAGATGCGGCGCGCATCCTCGTCGATAGTTAGCCAGCGGCCACCGAATAGCAGTTTTGTGAGTCAATCGACTTTAAGCCCGCACCGGCAGGAAAGAACGCAAATCGCGAGAAAGAGAGAGAGAGAGAGAGAGAGAGAGAGAGAGAGAGAGGGAGGGAGAGGGAGAGAGAGAAAGAGAACCGCGCAGCGACAATGTAGTAAGGATTTATCGCCGGTGATATTTCATATCGAGCGGGTTTTACGGGCGCGCACGTAGTAGGGCCCTCGGTAGGACCACTCGCGACGTGTGTAGGGCCGCTATGAGTGGCTCTCTCTCTCTCTCTCTCTCTCTCTCTCTCTCTCTCTCTCTTTCCTGCGCGTCAGACGCGCACGATAGTGCGCCGCAAGTGCACCGAGAGTCCGTTCGCATCGTGTCCTAGAGAAGAAACTCCGCGCACACCCCGCGGCGTGAAACGCATACGAGCACGAATGCTATTCGCGATTAACTCTTAAGCGAGAAGCACACATTTCCGCATAAAGGCATAATACACAACACATAAGAAAATGAACCAATCAGAGTCTTTAATTTCCAGCATGGCAATAGAAATAAAGATTCTAATCAGTTGATTTCTCTTCGCGCATTGTGTATTATGCCTTTATGCAAGAGTGTGTGCTTCCTGCTTGACGCGCCCGATCGATGCGAGACGTATTTTAGAGTGAGCCAATAAAACAGGAGCGTTCTTAGATTGTAGTGGTGACGTGATATTCCATGTGAGCGCGAGCGCGATTCCGCAGCGGGGGAAAACAGTCGAGAGCCGATCGAGGAACCTCGCGCGCGCGCGCAAGAAACGCGGAATTGGGAAAAGCGCGTGTTGCATCAAGGACGCGGAAGATCCTGGAGAGCCTGTGTGTCACGAGCCTGTGTATCCCGCGGTAATGCGTGGACGAGGCGCTGGATCACGTTTACTCAAGATTACGGCACGTTTCGTGTAATTGTAGACATACGAAGTTTATTACGCTTTGAGCATAAATTCTGCTGGCGGTGCTTAATATCTGGAGGTATCTCTCCGTCTACGAGAGAGCGGTCTTTCCCTGACTAAATTAACTTTTGCTCGCGAGATCTAACGGATGAGCAGGGAGAAATGGCGGGAGAAACGCACATAACGGAAATTTACCGAAAAGACGTTCGAGAGAAAGACACGATGTAGATAAGGTCCGAAATTGCGAGGAAGAATTATCTCGCAACTGTCTCAGCGAAAACCCGATCAAGAGAAGACAAGTCCCGATTACTTCCGCGATTAGGATGATACTTCAGTCTGCAGCGATTGAAGCAATTCTCGTTGTAAAATGGAAAATTGATACACTCATCGAAACACGCCGCGTGTCGTCCGTCGCGTTTGCAACCAACTTGAGTCCATAAGTTGAGTCTGTAAGCTCTGTAAGCTGTTGTTGATGCTTCTCGTTTCGTTACGTTTTACAACTTGGATTGCCGTTCTAATTAACTGAGACCGCGTCGTTTCATGTTGCAGTTGTGCGAGGGTGGAACGGTCATCGATCTGGCGCGCGGGATGATCGCGAGTGACAGAAGAATGCGAGAGGAGCACATCGCCTTCATCTTGAGGGAAGTGATCAAGGTAAGTCGAGTCGTGCGGAGGACGCGGCGGAGATCATCATTTCGTTTAACGATATTGCCGAAATGAGAATTCACGAGACGTGAAAGTTAAGGCGGCTCGACGGCCCTCGCGAGACACGCGAAACGACGGAACGTTCGCGACGTTTTCGCGAGGAAACGGCAGGGATTAAAATTAATTAACAGCGATACACACGCGACGCGAGGTGAGAGGCGCGTCTCGCAAGACGATCAATTACATACATCGTCGATCGTTATAACGCGAAAATGCCCGACCGGCCCGAAAACAGGTGAGCACGACCGAGGTAATTAGTTTTTGCGCCGGCACGAGAAGATATATACGTCAGCGGCCGAGAAGGATGGCCGTCGCGGAATGTCCGGCAAAATTGTGCCGTAATCTACCCTCTCTCGCCGCACCTCTCGCCACCCCTCTTGATTCAGAATGTAATAAATATTAGCCGCATGAAGTGCGGAGTGGCACACCGGTGGTGAACCGACAGAAATGATAATAGCAGGTAGCAACGGCAATAGTCGCGTTATTACGATATAATTATGCCCGATGGTATGTGCTGGTCCCGGCTATGTGCTTTTATCTCGCGGCAGATTATCCCGCTGATTGCAAAAGATACATCGGCGCCGAAACGAATCCGCGTGGTGTAATTAAGAGGCAGAGAAAAACCGTGCGCACGCAAAAACGCGTCTTCCTTGTGATTATGATAGTCGCGTCAAGCGGCTGGCATCCGAAAGGAAACATCGAAAGGGACTCTCGCTTTTGGTGGCGACGCGGACAATTGCGGAACAGCTGTTGCGTGGGAATTATATCGCGTGTAAAAACGATACTCCCGAAAATATGCGAATCTGCTGGAACGCTCGAATTCCATCTACGTACGAAACGAGACGAGTAAGCGCAATAGTGAAATCATGAAATATTTGACGTTACGCTAAAAATTATCCCGAGCGATATCAACTCGGAAGCCTAATTCGCTCGAAGAAGCTGCGATCTGGTTCACTATTCACGATTCACGACAAAAAGAGCGTCAATGTTCCTTGAAAAGGAGATATTTATATATTTTGTGCGTTCCATCTTGTACTTTTCCAATCTAATCTAACTTGCGGACAAAGCTGAATGGGTCTCGGCTTATAAATAGAACGCGTAAATTACAAGGACCGACGAAGATGCACGCCGATAGGCCGCACATTCCCCGGCGCAGAAATTACAAATAAGACAGGTGAGATGCGGCTCGCTAATTAACCTTCTCGCGTATGAGAAGCTGCCCCTTGATGATCCTCTCTCACTCATACAACCACCTCGGCATCCACTCAAGATCAAGAGCACGGCGAGTACTTGCTGCCTCGTTCCCTTCTCGCTTACATCTGTATTTTCGTTAGGGACGAAACAGCTGATTGCGCGAGCGATATTACCGACCGCGGTCTGACGCGAAGTTGTCGGCTCGTCACTCGCATTATTCGTTTATGCTCGGCCTACGTCACACAATATGTCGGCCTAATCCTACACGCACACACATATGCACATTCATATAACCGCGCTATAACCTTGATATCAGCACAGTTATTAGAGCTCAAAGGCGTAATTACAGGAGGCAGGAGGGGCACGAGATTGGAGACTAAGATGAATAGTAATTCAATCACTCACCGCTCGAATCGCGCCGTCGATGCCGTGTCTTCTCGTCGACCGTTGCGTTGCCTCGGGCACTCATCGTTGCACTTGCTCGTTCATTACTCGCGTACCGGGCACTCATTTATTACTCAGTCAATGCGATCGGATATAACGCGACCGATCGCGATCCTGCGTGCTAATCGAGGCGATATAAGACGATCACTCGTCGCTTCGCATCCCGATCCCGTCCGCCCGCCCGTCCGCAGACGCGTCGCGACGCGGAACTAAACGGAAGTGCAATCTCCGACTCCGAGCCGGACCGGCGTGAAGTTGACGCCGCATAACTCGAAGTTTTGAATACGGCTTGCGCATACGGTGGAGCGGTCTCGCCTCATTTATTTCTATATTTTTCCCGATTTTCTCATTTTACCGTGCGGCTACAATGTTTATTTGCACGCGCAAAATTGTGTCATTAAGTCGCGATTAAGTCGACATGTGACCAGTTTTCATCAATCAGAAGCTTTTCTGAATCAATCGTTCGTTATTCCTGATTAGTTTTGCGGCGAATCAATTTGTTTCGCCGCAAGAATCACGAGTCGACACTTTGATCGAAACGTTACATGCGCGCACGAATAAATTAATAAACTCGACGAAAGATGATATTGCCGTATCATTCATCGTCATAAGAGAAGCGAACCCAAAGGAATCAGCACAGTCCATATCCTGCGCAAATATTCGTTTCTTTTTTTGCTTCGATTATTAATATTAACGGAGCAGTGCGATAAACGTCGCGATAAATTTCGACGACCGCATTAATTGAATATTATCCTTATTTACGACGAATCGTAAAACGTAAGCTGTGTCGTTAATTTTTCCGCGAGTTTCGAGGAAAAAGGTAAGAACTGCCGCGCACGGTAAGCACGAAACGAGTCGGAAGCGGCCGACGTGAACGAGGTGAACCAACATAAGACAAATGCTCGAGAAAGAAAAACGAAAGCAGCGAAGAATACGAAGAGGCAGCAAGAGGAGGTCGAGGGACACGATAAGAAGAGAGAAAAAGAGAGCTAAACGTCCTTCCGTTTCGTAAGCCACCGCGATTTTAGCTTAATGGTTAATAGTCACGGCAGACGGATTCGCTTATTTGCAATGACACGACCTTCCATGATTCCGGTCTTTCCTAGGAGGTCGGATAATTGGCAAGGATAACGTGCTCATTTCACAACAGACCCCAAGAAGCAGCCCCGCACATGTGCATTCACGTACTCGTGTGTGCGTTCATGAAGTGGAAAAAATGAAGGCAAGAACCTTCAACAAAAAAAGGCAAATAACCGAGGGACGCTACAGGATAAAACCTGTAAGTGACCGTTTCCGCTTCGATTCCGCGTGTCACTGATTTTCATCTCTCATAATGCGCTCCTCTCTGGCCGCGTTTCTTGCCTGTCTGTCCCCTTATCTGCTATCACTTATATACGCGGAGCGGAACTAATCCTACCGAGCTGTAATAAGGGCTGCGCGGTGCCCCGACCGCGATTGTACGATACGGTAGATCGAAATAATTGCAGAGCTATAACGACAACGTTACTTGTTTTACCGCGAACGCGCGTTCACGCTTGTACATCGTAAAATCATAAAAATCGTCTGACCGGCCCGATTCGCTCTCGCGAGATTTACTCTACCCTCTATCTCTCTTTCTCGCTCTCCCACATTCCTTTTCTCTCGAGTCGAGTCTAAAGTTTATGTACTCTGTGTGCTAATAGACATCCGTCCCGTTCGGATCTCGATATTCCCCCCCAAAATCCACTTATTCCGCCGTAGAGGTTCCCAAGGGAGTGCGGCGAAAGGGCACGACATGTGTAATGGGCCCGGCATTCTTTCTGCCGCGAGTGGCTCATGGCTCACGACAATAATATTTACGATCCGGGCAGTTTGTCACTAAATCATTATGTGAGTCCAGCATTGGGGTACGCTTCGTGCACGCATAATCCGACGCCCTTCGCCACCGACCGGAGGGGGGCCCAGGGCTCCCCGCCGGCTTCCTAGGGCTGCCCACGCCGCGCCCGTCTCCGCCTTGAAAACTGCACGCAACCCCCTCTGCCCCTCAGCCTGGTGGATACGTGTTCCACGAGCCCAGTAGCGATTCGTCCACGGTCACTCGTGCGGTAAATCAGACCACGCTGACGTTTAATGCCGGCAAATTACACGCGAAATAAATGCCCGCGAAGAGCGGTGCGCGCGAGCGAGCGAGCGGCGAGCGCGCAGTGCTTGAAACAGAAACACAAAGAGAGCATGGCGAAGGGATAAGGAACGAGAGACGAATGGAGGCTACCGCTGGGCGCTTCTTCTTCTTCGTTGGTATGATCGTTACGTCCCGTTGGATCTTTATCCGCCAGTTAACAATTCGCTCGTCCCTCAAGTTTCCCTGCCTGCCAAGTTTCTTGCGCATCCGGTCGATGAGGTTGATTCGTTAGCGATTCCCCTGCTCTCGCGTCTTGTTTTCGAGGAAACTCGTTGTCGATCAAATCGTTGTCTAGCAAGGTATTAGTCCGTCGTATCATGTTGTTGTTGCAAAAATACAGGTACTCTGCCTGTCCGTCATTGTCGCCACCGCCACGAGACCATCTACTTAATCAGGGGACGTTAATCAAGGAGAAGATAAAAAATGAAGAGGTTTGCACTTGTATCGAAACAAGAAAAAGAAAAATCATTATGTGGTGTGGTGGTCCATCGATTTTGTGATTAATTGAAGTTTATAGAAGTTGGAAAACTCACTAGAGGTGAAGGAGGAAGAAGTTCGCCGGGTATAGGTTACGAGTTTGCTGAAGATCAATGAGAAATTTCGCTCATGATTAGTAGTCTGAAAAGAGAACGGCTTCGGAGTGCGGAATACCCTTTGAGACGCGGCTCTCCGATGAGCCGGGTATTAATGATTTCATGCCCATGCCACATGAACCACGGAACCGCTCACTGACCCGCGCTTGTTACACGCCGCTTGTTGCGCGGTCAGCCGCAAGTTATAGATCGTCCAATTTGCAGTAAATCTATAAAGACGATTCTTGCAAGACGCTGAAGGTGCCGAGTTAGCAACTTCTCTTCCGCATCGTCATTGGTGCCTCACGTATATCCCGTTGCGCGCTGTTCCAGCTCGGCTTCGTTCGCGCGAGTCTCAAGACTCGCCTAGAGTCCGCGAGAACTCGACGTGATTCTTGCAATGTTTCTCGTTTGTCAACTTCGAATCGAGATAATTCCTTCCAATCAACGAATTGACGCGATAACAACGAGAATCGCCTATGAGAACATAATTCAACCACTGTTTCAATGCTTCTATCTCTGTCCAGGCTCTGATCCACCTGCACGAGCACAACGTCGTCCACAGAGACATCCGCGGCAGCAACATCATTTTGACGAAGGAAGGCGAGGTGAAGTTGATAGACTTCGGGCTCTCCAAGCTGATGAAGAGCGAGCAGGAGAAGCGACGCACGTGCTTAGGATCGCCATCGTGGATGGCGCCGGAAGTCGTCGCCAGCAAGGGCAACCGGACCGACGATGGATACGACAGCCGGATCGACGTATGGGCGATCGGCATTACGGCGATAGAACTGGCCGACGGCAAGGCACCCTTCCAGAACATGCACCCGACGCGAGCCCTCTTCCAGATCGTCCGGAATCCACCGCCGACACTCTATCGGCCTGCCAACTGGTCGGGGAATCTCAACGACTTTATTATGGAGTATGCGACCAGTCAGATATGAAAATCTCTCTCCAGTGCGGAGAAAACGATGTCGCTCACGCGTCCGTGCTACGTCCGTTTCAGATGCCTCGAGAAGAATCCCGACAACAGACCGTACATGATGGAGATCATCGAGCATCCCTTCTTGTCGGAACTGCCCGAGAATGATTACCCGGTAATCTGTGATTTCAGGACGACGCGAGTTGCGGATCAATGGCGCATAGATCGTTGCGCAGGAATACGAAAAGATTACCTGTGGCTTGTCGTCAAGGCTCTAGGAGCACGCAAATTCAATTTTTCTACCTCATAAAACCACATTAATTGCGGGAGATAATGGAAGACAATAAAAATCGCGACATAATTGGCGAAGAAGAAATATTCACTCAAAATAATAAAAATCGTAAAACATTTCTTTATGTAGATTATGTATCATAGATTCATAGTGATGTCTTGGATAAATAGTTGTGCCATTTTCTATATTCAATGTCCCAAGTATCTTAATTAATTCTTACTTACGACCGCGAAAAGAACAAAACACATGGATTTCTAGCTGACGCAAGAAATCAAGACACTGGCAATGGACGTCATAGAGAAGGGCAAGGAAGAAAGGAAAACAGAATCTATAGTTCATAAAGGCTTCTTAAAGGTAACAATGAGGGAGGAATCGCGAAATAAATCGACTCCTACGATGTGTTGTCGAACGAAAGACTTGCTCTGCTCGACAGACTCGTCAGGACGAGCCACCGGAGCAAATGCTCACGGAAGATCTTGCGGCGCTCGACGTCCTGACCGAAGACGTCATCCTGGACGAACTTCGCGAGAGACTGCAGCGGGCCGAATACCACACGTTCGTCGGCGATATTCTACTGATACTCAATCCGAACGAGCAACATGGTATCTATGATGTTCATGTGAGTTTCACGTTGCTTCATGAGACTACATATTCAAGATTCGATTAAATTAGCAGAAACAATAGAAACGGTATCGCCGCCTCTTCAGTGCCAACGATCACGGCAACCTCTTTATCTCTGACTTGCTCATAATTTTTATTTGGAATCGTACCTGCGCAACAAATATTGCCACTAAACGCGAGAGAAGACAACGAGATTTCGCGAACATGTCAACATGTTTCGTGACGATATCGCGGTGATTTGATGTCGTTACGTAAAGGGTAAAGTGTAGCGAGTAATGAAATATGACTTTAATTGCAGCATCACGCCAAGTATCAATGCAAATCGCGATCGGACAATGCTCCGCATATTTATTCCGTGGCGGACAGCGCATTTCAGGATGTGATGCATAACGAGGAACCGCAGCACATTTTGTTAGCCGGCGAGAGCAACTCCGGGAAAACAACGAATATGCTGCATCTAGTGGAGCATCTCGCGTTCCTTGGGAAAGTGAGTTCAACTGGCTTGTTCGACGACGTCGATGACAGAATCACGAGATCTATTCGCGAGTATCTTTCTTTCCCTCCAGGGCATGCATAACGTCGGGATGAGAGTGATGCGGTCTATAAAAATAATTCACGCGTTTACAAACGCGTCGACACTGCTGAACGCCGACTCCACCAGATGCATCTTGCAAGTGCAGATGACTTTCGGCTCGACTAGCAAAACGTCAGGCGCGATATTCTGGCCGTATCAGTTGGAAAAGTGGCGTGTCTCCACCCGCGACAGGTACATACCTCGATGCAATTAGTTTTTCACCATCACATCGTTGTAGTCGGAGATTTTTTATTTCATCGAGTAAACTGCGAGGAGCGCCAAAGGATACGTCGTATTTTACTTTCCAACGTACAGATGGTTATCACTGCACAGGCGTGCAAACTGACTGGCTGTTTTTTCCGAACTGGTTTCTCCCGAACTGACGCGAGGAATTAGGGAATGTTAAAACTAATAAAATTAATAAATTTGAGAGATGAAATAGAAAAACGATATTGAGGAGAATGAAATTAAAAATAGTAGAAGGAAAAAACAATGATTTTTTCGAATAATGATTTAACTGCGTTACTATATCATACATAACAACTATTAATCATCCTTCCTTTCAGGAATCAGTCAAATTTCCACGCCTTTTACTATCTCTACGACGGCCTCGAGGCATCAGGAAGATTAAAAAAATATTACCTACCAAGCGGAAGGAGACTTCGGTATCTCCGAATAACCGACAAGAGCGCCGAGAGGAAACGCGCGTTCAAAGTACGACACGATCCGCACAACAACGTGCTCGAATTCGAGAAGCTCACGGAGGGTCTCAAATATATGGATATGGAGGAGTATTGTGAGACAATTTGGAGAACCCTCGCGGCCATCCTGCTTCTCGGAGAGATTCGATTTGTCGAGGGCAACAACGGGGAAGCTGAATTGGAGAACAACGAAGCCGCTAACAATGGTGAAAAGTCGAATCTGAAAATTCTCAATCTTTCTCAAGATTTATTTGATCTGATCTGATAAACGTACGAGAATTAACGAATTATCTCTTACGTTGCAGTTGCGCAACTTCTTGGCTTGGATTCGAAGAAATTTATCTGGGCTCTCGTGAATTATTGCTTGATCGTCAAGGGTTCGGCGATGCGCAGGAAACACACTTGCGAAGAAGCGAAAGAAGCACGGGACGTCTTGGCGAATACTCTTTACCAGCGTTTGGTGGACTGGATAATCAATAACATCAACTATAAACTGACGATGACTCGCAGTCTTTAGTAAGTGACACGAAAATTGGTGACGAGATCTCGTATTGGAAAGAAATGAGTCTCGAGCAAGACAGATGTTTAGCGTTATACAATGTTTTTTTTTAATTTTCACAATTGACAATGAGCTATATATACTTTTATAGTGGCGATAAATATTCCATCAGCGTTCTCGATCTCTTCGGCTTCGAGTGTTTCTCGATAAATCGAGTGGAGCAGCTGGTGGTGAATACGATGAACGAGCAAATGCAATACCATTACAATCAAAGAGTATTCGCCTGGGAAATGGTAAATACCCTCTTATGGATGATAAACCCCGCAACGCGAATATCTTTAAGTAAAATTCGCGAAATTTAAGATATCTTCATTCGTCGTGTTCGCGCTTAACGCTTACCGTGGCTTCAGCAAGAGCAGGAAGAGGAAGAGATACCTGTGCAACGCTTGCGCTTCTACGACAACAAGGAAGCGATCGATCAGTTGATGAACAAGACGAACGGCCTCTTTCACATCATCGACGACGCTTCGCGGCAAATGCAGGACGCTCAGTACATCCTCGAGAGGATCAAAGAGCGTAAGCGCGGAACTTACGTGAAACCGGTGAGCTCGCACGAGTTCACCGTCGCCCATTACACCGGGAAACTGATATACGACGCCAATGAGATCGCCGGCAAAAATCGAGACTTCCTACCGCCGGAGATGGTCGGCACAATGAGGTTCTCGTCGTACGACGCGGTCAAGCAGATGTTCACCAACAAGCTGACCAAGTCAGGCAACCTGACGATCATCCAGGGAAATTCCGTCGCGGCAGAAACGGAGAAAACGTCGAAGAGCAAGTGGGGCGCTCTCATGCAGGAATCTACGAGGCTTCGAGTAGGTGACTACTATGATTACGCGCGACAGCACTTCCAGTTCAAATTTTCAATAACAACTCGTTTTAACTTCAATAACGAACTATTTGGTCAATTTGGAGTCGATGTTTCCTCGACTAAGCTTCAACGTTAGAAGCATCCTCGCCGCGATGGACAACTTTTCACGAAGCCCGCAGGCTGCAATGACAGTGTGTAATGACGCCTTGCTTCTCCGTCGAATCCAACAGAGATACAACACCGCGTCCAGAGGACAGTACTCGCAAACGCGGAAGATGCGAACGTGCTCGTCGACATTCAGAGCTACGAGTCTCGAGATCTTGAAGAATCTCGCGGTGGGCACAGGAAATAGCGGCATGCATTTCGTTAGGTGCATACGCTCCGATCTCGAGGACACTCCTCGTGGCTTCTATCGAGAGGTCGTCAAACAGCAGATCAGAGCGCTAGCGGTTCTGGACACGGCGAAGGCCAGGCAACGCGGTTATCCGTATAGGATACCTTTTCAAGAGTTCCTACGACGGTACTTTGATGCGGGAGTAGGAATATTTTACTGGCTTCGACGTTAGGCTTACGCCTAACAGACGATCGTTTCTAATTACAGGTACAAATTCCTAGCCTTCGATTTCGACGAGACGGTCGAGATGACGAAGGACAACTGCCGGCTGCTTCTGATCAGATTGAAGATGGAGGGCTGGATCATTGGCAAGACCAAGGTCTTCTTGAAGTATTACAATGAAGAGTATCTCTCGCGCTTATACGAGACGCAAGTGAGAAAGATCGTGAAAGTGCAGTGTATGATGCGCGCTTTCCTGGCGCGCAAGAACATCGCCTCGAAGATCATCAGCATCAAGAAAGACATCGGTGAGCGAACGTGTGACCGTGCGATCGGCTCGCAAATTGTCTCATCATTTTGTGTCTCAAACATTGAGTATATATTTGCGATTTAAATGTCCCTGCGTTTTTCAGCTCTCAACATTGTCGATTGCACTGTTTCAGCGAGAAAAACGTCGATCAAAGTGAAAAGTTCACTTTCGCAAGATGAAGCGGCGTTAATGATACAGAAAGGTGGGTGACCAAGTTCTCGAGTTGACGAGAAAGTAAATTCCAACGATTCACGACATTTCGCAGACAACTCCGAGAGAGTTGCATTTTTTCTCGAATTCGTATTTTTAAGAATTCCTAATTTTAAAAGGAGTAATTAGGAGAATCATTCGATCATTAGAATTAACAAAAATTTAGAAGATATCAAAGTGAAATGTTGAATGAAAACGTACTTATCAGCGTACAGAGGACATATAGTGAGGAAAGAAATCGGCCCACTGATCAAGGGAGAGATGAGCCAAGAGACGAAAGATTTCATCAAGTTTTACAGCAGTAGGTGGAGATCGAAGAGCATGTTTCAAGTTCTTCTGTGGTATCGTGCAGCTCGTTATCAAGACCTCGTGCAGTTGTCGCAGCAGGTATTATGAAAATACTCAAGCCCTTGATAGAGCGACTCTTTCACAGAAAGGTAATTATATTTTCGAATATCGACGATAGGTTCACTTGTACAATCAATCGATAGCAGCAGCTTTGGAGAAAGTGAATAAACGTGTGGCTCTCGAGAAGATCGATCCAGGCGCTAAGGTGGATGCTTACATAAGCGAGGTGAGACCACCTGAGGTTCACAAACTACCCTTCAACTTGCAGCAAGAGCTGACGTACTTCGATACGAGCTACATGAACGACCCTTCAAATGCGAAAATGAAACGCGCAAGGTGAGTCACGCCTCAAGTGTTCTTCAACCTTCGGCCTTTGTCTGTAGCAACAGTCTGAATCGGAAATACACATGTCGGAGACTCTATTGTACACGACCACGACTTAAGACTGAACATACATACGACGAACACACACACACACGCGCGCGCGCGCATACACAGGTGGATAGTAACTTTCCTCGCAGATCCGCTCCGTTCTGTCTTGCTATTTCCCTCCCCTCCGTACACGTCGGTAGCTCTGTCTTTCTGTGCGTATCGTGCCGTCTCTGTTGAAGAAGTAGGAGTCGTCTAAGGACCCTTCGGCAATTTATGAGATCGACTGAGAGAAAGACGTTCTCACAGATCTGTGTCGTCCACGATGAGCGACGACGAGCACGAGCCCTGGGACGCACCGTTGCGCAGGCAAACTGTACCATGGGCTAACAACAACGTTCTTACGAGAGGTACGTCCCGAGAAATCGTCAACTTTCGATATTAAACTCTACCTAGATAGAGTCAAAACGATAGCCATAGATCACACAAGCTGGCACAGAAAATCGTGTATGAAAGCGGCAAAAAAGTCTCTCTCTTTCTCTCAGACGTTCAGGTACAAACGACCAATTCGCCGCACCGCATGCCTCTTCATCGCGCGTCGATTGGCGGGGAGCAAAGCTTGATCAACACTCCGTTCACCAGGGATCCCAATATCCCGATTCAATGTCCACCGGAGAACCTGTCCCGCCGCAACAGCAACACTTCTGGTTATCAAGCGCCTCTGAGCAAACGTGGCTTAGCGCAACCCCTTGATTCGCATATTCCTTACTGCGTAAGTTTGCGACAAAATGAGATTTCGCTCAAATCAATGATGATTCGCTATGTTTTCAATGACTCAAAGTAATGTGTCAAACATGTCCATCTCACGTGCAGAATAACATCGACAACGCTGGACCTGCGTACTCTAAGAAACTACCACCGTTCAATCCAACGCAGCCGTCGGTGATGCGCAATTTCAACGACTACGAGTCGAACCGAAACAGAAACGATACCGACGGGGCGGATTGGGAATTCGAGGATCAAGTCAACCGCAATAGTAGTAATATTCGGTACGATCACTTCAGGAAGAGACGCGTACTCTCGTCGACGCGATGGAAATTCGCTTTCTTCAACAAGATTTTCTATCTTACGTTTGCAGCGCAAATCCCATTAAGGAACTGGAGATGATCGGACGCAGAAATAACAACAACGAGAACGACGACGAGCCTCCATTCAACTTCCAGGCAAGACACAATCCGTTTTACTCTCCTATTCTCGCTATCACATCCTACATGCACACAGCTTAATTTTACAACCATTGATGCGACTTATCGGTTATGTCAATGCTTAAAAAATAGACCTGTCTGGCCCACCCCGATCGTTATTTTATTCTAGGCGATGTTGCGGAAGACATCACATCAGCGCAATTCGATGAAGCGCAATCCCGTGTATGAAAGCGTTGTGCCGTCGATGCCGGTGCTGGTTTATCGTTGCGGCAGCGAAGATGACATATACAGCTCGAATGTCGTCTACAGAAGCGCCAATCGCAAGGACTCACCGGAGTGGAGTCCGAATGAGATGATCCTCATGTCGGAAAAATACGCGAAGCAGGACGCGTGGGACGAGGAACACGCCAACGACGGTGACAGCGTCACTACGGAGATTGCACCGGGCATTGTTGTCAAAGGTCGTGTGGCTGAATTATAAAGCATCCATGCGGAGACATCGGCGTTGTGTCGCGAGGATCAGTCAACTCCGACTATGCTCGTTAGTCGTTAGTTTTCTCGGTATTTGTCATATCTAAGATTACGATCTGAAAGAAGAAAGATTGTTCGTCAGAGTTAGAGAAAATCCCCAGCGCAAACGATTCCTGGCGAAACTTGTAGTTTCGTCTACCGGTCGATTATTGAGTCGAATGTTGAATTCTAAATTGAAGTCGAATGTTGAATGTTCTAAACGCGAAGAAGCACCAGCGAGGAAATAGAGAAGTATCGATATAAAACAATTCCGATGCAATAAAGTGTTTGGAGCGAGTTATTCTCCTCTCGTTAATATAAGAGAGGACAGTTATCTCCTAAAAATAGCCTAACTTGTTCGTTACGTGACTTTAATTCAATGTAACAGATAAAAGTATAATAATGTTGTTGAAGCAATATTACGGAGAACGTATACGAGTAAATTCACAAACACGTTTTAGACAATATAAATATTATAGATATATTTCTCTCTTCGTACAAATTCTTAAATTAATACAATTTTTAATTAACAAACAATAAATTTTCGTCTCACGATACGCCGGAGTATGTTTCATATCATCTTGGCTCGTATCGGTGATATGATGGCAAAATTATATTTAAATTAAGACGATAAAAGAAATCGCATTGTGCATTATGTACATACTGGCCATGCTTAACAACTTAAGCATACAAAATATAAATATATGGAATACGAAATATTCCACATATTTATATGAAATATATAGAATATGAAATATATAAATATAAGGAAAAATAATAGGCGCGATGTTTCAAACAGTTAGTTCAGCAACGGGTGTATACACACATCACAGTAGTACATATATAGTACGAAACATAAATCATATTACATTTTGTCATATCTTTATATGTTCAATGACGTAACAGTGCTCTCCGATTTTTGACAAAGAATTGGTCGAGGACAGAAATTTTGACTCGAGAGTAATAAATAATAATATAACGTACGTCTTAAATTCTTGCATGCACACAACACACATGACTATGCGGCGGATGTGTTAACATCTCCTAGGGCAACGTATAAATATTAATTAAAAACGCGTTTTATATATCTTTAACCACTTATAATTCTCGCGTGTAAAGAGGCAATTTTGCATGAGCTTCGAGTATAACAACAATTTGCTTCTCATAATGAAGAATCCTTACGTAAAACACGAGATATGTTACAAGCCGCCACTTGATTTACAACCGTCTAATTTTTGTCCGGTTGCGCGGTCTCGTGACTATTATTCTGCTGGGAACTCTGCTTCATGATGTTGACCAATGTATCCAGTCTGGTAGGGCGCGCTATTTGCAGAACCATACGCGCCTCTTCCAAGATTAAGAGACCATTGTGCGCGTCGCTGGCCGATAGATTGTGCGCCGATATCACGTGCCGTCTCCAGGCCGCGTGCGTAGGGAGAACCTGAGGATTACGAAAATAAAGTATCAGCCGCCGCGAAAAGGATGCAAAATGTCAGCGATATAATCCACCGCGGCTTCGTTACGCAACGGATAGAGACGGAGAGGTCTCCGAACTCACTTGTAAGCACCATTTGCAATTGAGAGACGGCGAGATGGTGTGAACGGCTTTTATGTGCCTTCTGCGAAAACCCCAGCTCGTATACGCTCTGTCACAGAAAGGACACGGAAACGGTGGGTAAGCCGGTCCGCCTTTGATCGTCTCTTCCGACAGATCCATACCGTAGGGCTCGGCTAATGCAGGGAAGCCGGGCTGTGATGCTCCAGGACTGCTGTGTCCTGCGAGGAAACTCGAGGACTCCGCTTGATCGAACGCCTGCTCGCCATGAAAACGAGTCCGCGAGTCGGACGGCGACGGGTCCCTCGCATGCTTCGAGATGTCACACATGGAACTTTGCTCGATCGCGAACGGATCACTTCGCTCGTACGTCTCGTGCGGGTCCGGAGAAGCGTGGCGGGCTTCAGCAATCACCGTCACGATCGGCTTCGACGACGACGACGACCCTAGAAAGAATTTCAGCCGGCCATTTGAATCGTTTTCTTCATGAGCGAAACTCAATGTTGACTATGAACTAAGTACTGACCGATGTGTTCGTGATCGGTGATGTAATTATAGGTAACTATAACTAATAAATACAACTTACTCAATGTACTAGTCGTGGTCTCTTGACTTTGCTTCTCTCTCTCTCTCTCTCTCTCTCTCTCTCTCTCTCTCTCTCTATTTGCGTAAGATAATAATATTTCGCAACAGGATTCCAATCTTTTGCGTCGGCTTAAGGTGGTAAATCGTGACGTAAAAAGTACACGTGAAATATTGGCGTTTCTCCGCGACAGATCTCCCGGGGAAATCGTCGCTCTTACAGAATACTGCGCAAAGCGCAGTACCTTCGCACGAACACGTATCGCAAAGTACGATAGACGTGGGAGATCGTGCCTCGGCAGGTACACCGGAAATCAGGAGACAATTAAAAATGTAAAATAGGTTTATTTGCGACCAGTCGTGTGTGTCTTGTCTACAATAGTATCGATTTAAATAATAATAGTCGATCCGAAGCTGTCGGTATGCTCGAATGATCAACGCCCGTATGTCGCGCGCAACCGAATAAAAATGACTCGACTTCTCGTGAAGTAAAGTAAACGGAGATCAACGAACGCTTTCTCGCGCGAGAATGATAAAAATCGCACGCATTTGCAACATATATATCCTAATTCGGAGGAGTAGGGCCAATAGGGTTCCAGAGCGGGACACAGACGTGAGCGTGGCGAAGATTCTCTCGGCACCGACAACCGTCGCAACAAGCGCCAAACTTGTCTTGGCTCTGCCAAGAGTCGACACGGACGAGGAAATACATGCTGCGGAGAATGTCCGCGATGGTCCGCGCGTTTGGCATTTTTGCAACGGCAGCGGATCTCCTCGCGCGCTCACGTCGACGCTCCGACACTCCGCGACCGGCGCTTCTCGTCCGAATCGCACAATTGCATTACATACATATCCTAATAGTTCGTGGCGCATAGAGCGGCCCTCCGCGCCCTGTGCGGCGGTTTAAATAATCTACAAGCATGTCTTAAATCACTATTCCTGTCGTAAGAGCTATAGACTTTTTTTCTTTTCATCTGCCTTCTTTAAGTGTACATGTGAAGAACTGCCGTGGTCGAGCAGCGTGTATTCACGCACGCGCGCGCGCGCGCGTGACCAGCACGACCGTGACCGACACGGCCGAACCGTGCACATCCTTGTGTGTTATGTGTACATATATGTACATACATACCATACACATACTTCTAAGTGAGTACGTGTATGCCTACGCGTGTGCATGCTCGTGCACATACAGGATGTCTCAAGATTCGTAGTCGAGTGGAAACGCCGGAGCGGTGACGTTCGCAGGGAAGTGTCCGCGCGTGATGAAAGTGCGTACGATTCTTTCTCTCTCTCTCTCTCTCTCTCTCTCTCTCTCTCTCTCTCTCTTCTTCCCCTCTCTAATTCCGATTTAGCTTCTCTATTCAAGTATAAGTTCAGCGACTCGGCTTTGCGCAATAAGGCGAATGATCGGCGACAAAGTAAACATACGTGCGATCTTCTCCTTTGGTCTTAACACTGAAAGACGTACAATAAAAATGCACGCTTTCATTACCCGGTTCCTGGCGATAAACTCACCATCCTCAAACGTTGAGACACCCTGTAGACGACGCATATACGCACAACGAATGCGTGCTGCATATAGTATATATATATGTATATACACGCGCACTCTATCTGTGTATTAATAATGCGTGAGCGAGTACGTGATGTGTGTATATCCGAGTGCTAGAATGAGTGTGTGAGAGAGAGAGAGAGAGAGAGAGAGAGAGAGAGAGAGAGAGAGAGAGAGAGAGAGAGAGAGAGAGAGAGAGAGAGAGAGAGAAAGCGAGGAGGAGAGGAGATAGAGGGAGCGAGAAAGAGAGACAGAGACAGAGATACTCGCGTGTCTCTCCCCGATATACGCCGTCGACTTAATAATATCATGCCGTCTTTATCGCCAAAGTGGGTTCTCGCATGAATATACCGCAAATAAACGTTAAGAAGGAATGTTACGTTATTCGAAGTGCCATACGAAAAACACAACAAAGTACACAGACAGCTGGACGATTGACCTCGCGAGCGCGAGCGCGTCGTGAATAGCAGTACTTGATGGTATTGGTGGGGAGATACCTTAAAGCACACGCTGTGTGCGAGCGCGAAAGAAAGAGACGGGAGGAGAAATCGAATAAAGTTCCCCGGGGTGTTGCCCCCTTCGACAAGGTGGAAATTATAACGAAAATTATCGAGAGGAAGGCTTAGAATATTGTTATTATTATTATTCGTACGTCCGCCACCGCCGTACGTGGCGAACGTGAAGCGTATTTATAAATAACTCTCAATCGCGAACTACGATGCACCTTCTAAGATCACACACCCTGTCACCCCGAAATCTATAATCTAAAGTCGTCCTCGTCTTCTTCGTCGTCGTCGTCGTCGTCGCGGATCGGAGCGTGCATGTATGCACGCATGCACGCACGCACGCACGCACGCACGCACGCACGCAGGCAGGCAGATAGGTAGACAGGCAGGCAAGCAGACAGGCACGCAAGCACGCAGGCACGCACGCACGCACGCAGGCACGCACGCACGCACGTAATGTTCGCTCCGACGCCTATTGCACGTGTCCGAGTGATCCGCGCGATTCTTTTCTAATCCACGTCGGTCGACCGATCGTCCGTCCCTTCTTTCCCCCGTTAACGGCTACGCGCGCGCGTTAAATCTAACTATCTACTTACATCGATCTTTTTTACAACATCCTAAAACGCGAGAGCGCGAAAGCTCACACCGAGGAGGAACGAGCGAGGGACGCGAGTCTCGCGACGATTCCGCGTGCGGCAACAAACCCAACAAAGAGATAGAAAGAGAGGGAGAGAGAGAGAGAGATAGAGAGAAAAAAAGGGTAAACGAAAGGGATAGAGAGGAAGATGAGGGAGCCGAGGGGCGACGGGGGGGTTTTTACAAGGGTTTACGATCCTATTCCAGCCAGTGGAAACGTTTCCGTTTGACCCCTGACCTGAAATGCCCTAGTCATTGAGTGTAGACCGAACGCCTCTGAAACAGATACCTTTTCAAGCCCCTATTGCTAGTGTCGATTTTGGTTACGCAATTCTTCCACGCCTCCTCCCACTCAATGCTGTTGGGCGTAATGCCGCTGAAGTGCAACAGAACCTCCCGGATCAGGTGTATTTTGTTGCTGTCGAACTGCTGCTTGCCCATCTTGCCGTTCACGTTGCAGAGGATCCTCTCCTCCGGCGTGAAGAGAATCTTCATGAGATCGCAGGCCAGATGATCCATCGGCCGCGAGGACGCCCAAGTGGAGATTATGTCCGGGCTCGGCAGAAGATCGGCGTAAGGTAGCTGCTGATACGCGTAAAGCAGCGGCTTGACGTCCGAGAATCCACTTAGCCCGGACAAGCCCGATAAACCGGAAATGTCTTCAGCAGGGCTGTTCCCAGACCCTGCCACACACATCAGCACAGCGCGCTTTAGAGACACGGGCTGCCTTCTCGCACACGTGACATTACACGCACAATAAAGAGAAAATGTGAGCGAGCGAGTGTACGTTATAAAAAGCTATAATGAAGGACCGATCACGCATCTTCCGTCTCACGTATGCACCGCTCACGCATGCACGCACGCGGCGCACATACGCTTGTGCATCGGCGATCGACGCGTGATCGAGCGGCGTTCTCGGCCGGAGAGCTGACTTCGTTTCTCGAATCAACTTCCCGAATTTACGTCCAAGTCGACGTACGCTCTCTCACGAAGCTCAGCGTGTACGTTACGTAAATTGGAAATCGCGCGACACGGTTACCGGCCGTAGTTTTCGCGCCAATCACAGCCGTCACACGTACGTGTGCGTATACGATCGTTTCGCGATTGACAGCGAGAACGACCGGATTTGTTTTTCCTTTTACTTTTCCTTTTCCTTTTCCACGAGCGTCAAGTGTCTCTTCGCTGTGATTCAGCGAGCCGTAGAGAGAGAGATAGAAAGAGAAAAAGAAAGAGAAAGAGAGAGAGAGAGAGAGGGAGAGAGAGACCGTTCTGCCCGTTTGCGATAATTATGTCGCTCTCATTGTCTTCTCGATAGAGAGAGAGAGAGAGAGAGAGAGAGAGAGAGAGAGAGGGAGAGAGAGAGAGAGAGAGAGAGAGAGAGAGAGAGAGAGAGAGAGAGAGAGAGAGAGAGAGAGAGAGAGAGAGAGAGAGAGAGAGAGTTCTCTTTACCTCGCGTACGCAATCTTTCTTCTTTTCTTTCTACCTTTCTCATGGTTACCCTCGGCGGTGCAGCAAATAAAAGAAACATGGTCAAACACGTCAAAACGAGCAAAACAGAATATGCGATGAAAGCGAACAGAGGATTCGAAAGAAGCTACGCGAGCTGCGGTACCAAAGAAAAAGCTTTGATACCGCAACGTACCACCGGACACGCAGAGGCAGCGAGTAGTCGGTGTAGTGCACAGTTTTGCGTGTTGCATTTATACGTGTAATGAAAACAGAGCTGGTTATCAAGTGATAACTAAACTGTATTCTCGGACGTCGAAGATGAGGCGAAATGCGATACGGTCTTCGCATTGAATTCAAACTCGTTACTTCGACGAAATTTAGTATACAGATCGGCAACTCTTTTGCCACGTGAGTCCTCTGACGAACTTCATTTAAAGTCGCGCGTCTTCGCTTCACTTTTCAGATTGACGAACACTCTCGACAGATCCCCTCGACAGACATCTGTTAAAATCCCTTTGAGAAAATTTTTGCAAGAAACTTCGGCATAATGCTACTCGGGCACGGATTTTCAAAGCTTCCAATGTTAAAGGTAAGAAATGTAACGGCAACAGTTGATTCTCGATTAGATTTTCGCCAAGCATCTTCATATATCTGTAGGAAGATGTGACTAATAAAACGTGCGGCATATTTTGTATTCTTTGTGCGTCTACATGGGTGTCTACACATTTGTATGTACAGAACATAATATGCCGAAATAGCTGATTTAACGGATTTGCATTTACCACAACATCGAGACGCCAGCTAGACAACAGGGCAATGAAAATGCAACGGAAACTGAGTGTTGTCTAGCTTAGCTAGAATATACTAGAATTCGCCAAACGCAAAGAACGCATAAAATGTAGTATATAATAAATAAAAGTAAATAGAGCCATCTATTTACACATCCGCCAGGTAAGGCACATTCGCGCGTAATTTTCAACGGGAAAAATCTCTCAGAGCAATCTGACACTAACCTTGATTCCCGTCCGATTGTCCCGTATCTAGCCTCTCTGCTGCATCCTTATCTAACGGAGATCGCTTCGGGATATCTTCTACCGCCATTTCCAATGGTTCTATCTGAAATGCATTTGGATTGAATGCTGCGCGTTTCGTACACACCGTTGTGTACACAGCATAACGTGCGACTGAGACCGTTTTTATCATTACTATCTGACTTTTTCCAAAACTAACTTTCATCTCCAAACGATGATACACCGGATTGGGCAATGTCTCAGGCAACGTGTAATCTTCGTCTTTTCCGCTCTGATCGCTCGCCGCGGACTCATTTGTATTCTCCGACTGCGATATTCTAGGCGTTAGTGCTTTCTCCAAAATAGAATTACTCTGCTGTTTGCTGACTTTCTGCTTCTTCTTAGGTGTCTCCTCTTTGGTCAGCGGCGCATCCTCGACCACTGCCTGCTCTAGTTCAGCCAGTCTTTTATATGACTCCTTCGCGAAGATATCTCCACCGGACAGACCCCGAATTTGTAATGTTTCTGCAGCTTTCAAAAGTGCAGGTAAGTTCTTCTGTTCAATATTCACCTCTCCTTTGTATATAAATATAAGTAGCGCCTCCAATTCACTAAAATGTACATCTTGAAGTATTATAACTGGATGTTGACATGGGTTTGTCTAAAAAGGAAAAAAATAAGATTATCAAGCTATAATGTTACACCATATTATTATATAAATTATTAATCTATCTATCTAATAATTATTCATTATTAGAAATTATTAAATATTTTTATCAGAAACTATTTTTCTACATATTATTATTTAAAATTATTTAAATTTAAATTATTTAAAAACTAGGTGATACACTGTTCAAAATATTTGATTAATAAAATTCATCAAATATGTTCATGAAATATTTTTATGATATTATTACATAAAATATCTCAAAGTCAATATGTATATGAATCATAGTTGTAACAATTACTGAAGAGTTATTTCATTTCTTGTTACGTATGTAATAAAAAATAAGTATACAATAATTTTGTTTATTTGAAATAATAGAGAAGCAAAAATATGAATCGTCATTTTCATTTCAGGGAAAATAAAGTATAAATACAACTCGCAAATTGCGCTCTTGTCATCAGAATAGATATAAAACCATTAATCTTATAATCTGACAATCTCTCAGAACTCTATGTCACAAACATTATTGCATTAGGAGAAGGAAGGAATACGTCGGTGTTTGACAGCGAGGATCGAGGTAAGCGCGAGAATAGTCGTGATTAGAAAAGCAGAGAGAGAGAGAGAGAGAGAGAGAGAGAGAGAGGAGAGAGAGAGAGAAAGAGAGAAAGAAAGAGAGAGAGAGAGAGAGAAGAGAGAGAGAGAGAGAGAGAGGAGAGAGAAGAGAGAGAGAGAGAGAGAGAGAGAGAGAGAGAGAGAGAGAGAGAGAGAGAGAGAGAGAGAGAGAGAGAGAGAGAGAGAGAGAGAGAGAGAGAGAGAGAGAGGAGAGAGAAGAGAGAGAGAGAGAGAGAGAGAGAAAGAGAGAGAGAGAGAGAGTCAATTAGCCGATAATCGTCCGGTTTGCCCCGAAATCGAGCATGCCAATCAGTCTCTAACCTCGACGCGAGAGCGCTCGCTGGCTACGCGACAGCTGTCAAACGCGTTGTGTACATACGTCCCACCGAGGCGTGACGCGCGCGCGAGTACCGCTAGAAGACCGCCAAGTGGACAGTCCTCGGATGAGCGGGACGAGCTGTCAGTTCGACGACGGCTCATCCACGGGAGTTTCGGCGATTAACACGACCTTGACCTGGTCTCACCTGGAAGACCTTCTTGAAGAAGGGGCTGCTGGCTGAGAGTATCACCTTGTGCGCCGTGAGACACTGTCCGTCACTGGCAAGAGTCACGTCCACCAGACCCTCTTCCTCCCACAGACTCTCGAAGCTGGTCGCGATATTGCTGAGAAAACTGTTCCACTTTAGGCATATTTGACTTGACATGTCGCGCGGGATAGTACAGCAGGCACGGTACGGCACGGCACGGCTCGGCACGTTCGTATTGCGTCGGAGGTAGACGCTATCGCACCGTGGTGTCGCGCGGTGAACGCGAGCCTTGCCTTCTCACGCGACGACGGGGACGGCGAGCGCGACAGTGGCACGGCAGTCGTGCCAGGCACGCACAAACATCGTCGGTGGCGGAGTCGGGAGAGGAGGAGCACCTCTTCTGTTCATTTCGCCTGCACTCGCCGCACTCGGCAGTGCGATGTTGCACCTTTTGCTCTCGGAGCGAGGTGGGAGTATCGTGCACTGGGGAGGAAAAAGACGGAAATTAAAATTGGAAAGAAGTGCAGACGAGGAGGATTGGAGAGAACAGACTTTGTACTTTTGAATTTGGGCGAAAAATGTAGGAGTCAGGTGCGAAAAATACTGCCGAAAGGAACACGTATCATCGCGATGAATATGGCAATTTGTAAATAATTCTTCTCCTCACTGCTCTCTTCTTATGTTTCTTGTTTAATAGAATATTTTCTTTTTCCTTTTCATTGTCGACAAATTTCAAGCTGTTTAATTTTAAGTGCAGAAAGTGTAACGGAGCACAGCTGAAGGTTCGCGCGCGAACTTTGAATGGTATGGAACATTCAAGCAGCGTTCAAATTTGCATTTTATCGAACAAATTCACGATATACATACGTCATATTGTGCGTATAACAGCAACGAGATATATTCATGCACAAACAAAATCCATTTTCAGTAGAATCCAAATCCAAATTTTACTCCATGTTTTCCAACCATTTTTCATGTAAATGTGCTTACGTTTCAGCATTTTATATATTATTTATAATGAAATAAATGTGTATTTATAAATTATACATATATATGTATATGTATATATATATATATATACATATATTATATATATAATGTATGCGTATATGTTATATATTACATAAGAATAATAATTCAATCAAAATAGAAATCAAAATAGAATCATCAAAATAGAAGTATTACTTTAATGTCTCAAATCTGTTACTACTGTCTTCAATTTGCAATAAATCGTCAACAAGTTACTAAAAATTTACAGCCCTAAATAAAATTTTGCTTCTAAATTATAATATATCGATAGATAAATATCGTTTTCTTCATCTTCAGGATACTTCAGAATATTCAATTTTCCTTAATATTCAAAAGATGAAACAATATATTAAAAGCTAAATGATATTATCAGATGCTGATATATAAATTGCATCCATGTGCAATTGTTAAACAAATAAATGCAAGAAGATGATACTAAGGTCTTGATAATTTAGAATTATTCGTAATGTACAAGATGTTCTTCCTAAGAAAGCTACGTGGACGGTGTTGGATCGAAAGGCAAAATCGTTCCACGACGCGGTAGACTTACATTAAGCAAGGCGAAGCCGAGTGTGCATGCGTGCGTGCTTACGTGCGTGCTCGCGTGCGTACATTCAACCGTATGGCCGACAACAACAATTCCCGCGTGCGTGGTCCGCGTGCGTGCATGCGTGCGTGCCTGCTCGCGTGCATGCATGCTTGCGTGCGTCCGTGTCCATAACAGAGTTCCATAATCGTTAAGGTTCCACCGAGTTCTACCATGCCTTGCTTTACGTCCCAAGCGTGGCTACACGAAAATACAGTACGAAAACTTTAGAAACGTTTCAACGCATTCATTTTCTTATATTCAAAGAAATAATTAATCGAACTGTGTTTATATATTTTTTTCTTCCAACGAATATTGAAGAAGCAAAATGTCTTAATTTTAAAATAAAATAATGTATGTATAATGCAATACATACATACACATATATATATATATATATAATATTAATATTATAATTCATTTTTAGAAATACTTTTAGCATCTTTTTAATTTATATATGCAAAAGTCTTTCTCAGAAAGTTATATTAAACAATTAAAATTTATATATATATATATATATGTATATATATGTACGTATTTTTATTTAATATTATATGGCATTGCAAAACCACTATTTTTTTTTATATTAATATAGTAATTTCCTTTCGTCTACCATTTCTTTTTAGCCTGGTTTCTTCCTCACATCCTGTTTTCGATCTTACATATCTATAGCATATTCCAGCTCGTTCAATTTCACTGCTGGTATACGCGCCTACTTCTCTTTTTGCTCACCACAAAACTCCTTTTCTTTTATGCTACTTCAACCTAATTTCCACGCTAGTCTGTTACTTCTATCCTATCTTCTTGTTAATCTTTTTGTTTTGCTTTACTTTTCTTTATTCCTATGTTCGTTTTGCCAGTATCATACCAGAGAGGAAGCTGAGAGCGGCCAACACGGCGTTTTCGGCGACACCGATTTTTCGCACTGGGAATGGGCGCTATCTGCATCCATTTTGAGAGGGGAACTACGATGCTACATGCACTTTTAGGTCTCGACGGTAAAACCTGCATCTGGTGGCTGTCCGTGCTACATCCACTTTCAGGCGGTTTATGTCCGTGCTACAACCATAATAGCGTACTTGACAAGCACGGTCTCGCGCATTGTTATGCATTTGTAACATGAATTAACATGTTAACATGCACAAAAAAAATAAGAATTGAAATTGTATATGATTAATATCATGAAGATTATATACGATTTATTTCGATATATAAATATATGATAATAAGATAATATTTTGTGTGTACCCAAAATTATTTTTCCAAAATATTTCAGCGTTACGTTAGTATTTATTTATATTCCGGCAGGCGTTTTTTAGCGCAGTTGTGTCCGTGTGCATGTGTTGCATTGAAAGTGTGCGTGACGTACGTGTGCATATACGAACTCACACACACACACACACACACACGTGTCATACGCAACAGATAGAATCTCAGGATATATGCTTAAACATTTTCAATTGCCGTACGTTTCTATGTAAGAATGTAGTCGGCACACACACACAGAGAAACTGCTCCCGTCTATCCGTCTGAAGTCCCGCCCTCCGCTCGGCTTGTTTTGACGAACCAAGCGAAAGAGAGAGAGAGAGAGAGGGAATGTGTTCGCTCCATCTCGCTCTGATTTGTAACGTTGCCGAGATTGTGCTTCCCGACACACGGCCGAGACTGACGTTTCACTCTCGGCGTGAATCCAACGAGATGATCAATAGCAATTGATTTCGACTAAACTCGTTGTGTCGATAGATTTGCATGACAAATTAACATTGTACTTAAAGATACGGCGTAGCATTGAAGCGTTTGCAAGAAAGTCGCGATTGAAAATCGCGAGTCCAACATGAACCAAATAAAGGAGCGGGCTTCTCAAAGAGAGTGTGGCTTGGTGGAAGTACGCTGGACTCGGGGTTAAGGTCGGTGGTTCGCATCTCCTTGGCGGTCGGCGTTGTCCTTTTTCGCCAATCAATTTTTTTTTCGTTTTATAGGAAAATGCACGTGTTGCATACAACATACGTGTATCACAATAAATTTTTTTTCATTTTTTAAGAAAATGCACGTATTGCATACAACACACGGGCATCGCAAGTATTGCACGTTTCGTCGATGACTTCCTCTGAGACCCCGTCCTACGCTCGACTTGTTTCGACGAGCCAAGCAAAAGAGAGACAGAGAATGTGTTCGCTCCATCACCTCTGTGAAGATGGCCCTTCATTCTTCAAATTTGAAAAATATTATTAGAGTTCTGAATGTCCCTCGCAGAGTTCTAGAGTTCGCAATCCTTTACAGAAAGAGTTCCGTCATTTAAAGTAGAGAAAATACCATTTTAAAAATCGGAGGGCCAACTTCACGACGCCCCTCATTATGTAAAAAATGACAATTTTTTTAGAGTTCTAGACAGATTTTTAAGTTCTATAGTTCTAGATAAGTTTTAAAAACAGTTCTGTTTAAAACAATAAGAAAAATTATAATTAAAATTCTCGAATTAGAAAACGAAAAAAGGCAAGAACTCTACCAATTTTGGTTTTAGCGTTCCGAGTGTTAATAATAATCTTTAGAACTCGCGAGGGGCTAACCAGAACTCTGAATAAAACATCGGATTTCCAAAAAAATGGATTGCTTATTAAATACGTAAAATTCTTTTTCGGAAATCCGATGTTTCATTCAGAGTTCTGGTTAGCCCCTCACGAGTTCTGAAGATTATTATTAACACTCAGAACGCTAAAACCAAAATTGAAAGAGTTGTCGATAAAATGCGAACGTAGCAGTTGTAAAGCATCGTTTCTCGGTTCTCTGAGCTAAGATCAAAGTGTAGTGTCGAAGATTAAAGATTTCCAACCTTTCTCCGTTGATATCTCCGCTTCTACTGAGAGTAGAGAGTCGTCAATGTAGTCGAAAATGTAGGGTTTTGAGAGGACTTTATTTTGGTGCCAGAACCAGGCCTGTATCTCTAACCGTTTAGGAGATATCGACGGTTAAAGTTTTCCAGCCTTTCTCCGTCGATATCTCCGCTTCTACTGGGAGCAGAGAGTCGCCATTTACGGCAAAATGTAGGGTTTTGAGAGGACTTTAATTTGGTGCCAGAACCAGGCCTGTATCTCTAACCGTTTAGGAGATATTGAAGGTTAAGGATTTCCAACCTTTCTCCGTTGATATCTCCGTTTCTACTGGGAGTAGAGAGTCCCCATTTACGGCAAAATGTAGGGTTTTGAGAGGACTTTAATTTGGTGCCAGAAACAGGCCTGTATCTCTAACCGTTTAGGAGATATCGAAGGTTAAAGTTTTCCAGCCTTTCTCCAACGATATCCAGCCTTCCTCCGTCGATATCTCCGCTTCTACCGCAAGAGAATCATTCAGTATTTTAAATCTTGTATGTAATGCAGGCTATCGATCAAGTAATCCCCTGATTGTTTCGAGCAATGTATTTTATTCAACGTCACAAATACACACATGCAAGTATCTATTTGCAATTCGCATTGACTCGAACGATATATTTTAATCCCACATCCGTCATGCAGAATTTTGTTTCTCTTTTCATTTTGACTCACTGAAACGACTTGCAGTCAGAGCCGGCCACGTTCCGCTTCAACTCTGTAACAAAAAATTCACATTTGTTCATCAGATTTGACCAACGAGTGCGGGCGAGTAAAAGAGTAGTTTACCCTCTGCGATCGTAATTCAAGTCGAGCCGGAAATTATATCCCAGCTCTAGATCGCCAAGGTCAAACAGAGGACTTTAGTAAACTTGTAACTTACCTTCAAGCCGACTCTGCTTGGCCCGAACCGAATCCTCCGGTGCGGCATCCGCGTCCACCGGATTGCTGTTGCTTTCCGCAACAACTGAAACAGAAAAATAATTTTCCCAGTTGATAACCTGCGGTAGAGAGAGAATATCTTTGATCGGGACCAATCGAAAATACGGATATATTTTGATGCGGAATTTTTATCTTTATATTTTTGTTCCAGCATTGAAAATTTAAATGGGACTTGAAGCTTTCGAGAGAGCTGATGAGGAACAAGTTACAAAGGCAAAGATCGTAAAGAGTTGAACACAGATGTGTAGAAAACTTGTAAACTTTACCTTCCGGCCGACCCTGCTCTGCCCGAACCGGATCCTCCGATGCGGCATCCGCGTCCGCCGGACTTGCTTCCCGCAACGTCTGGAACAAAAATTTAGCGTTCTTGGTTGGTAAGCTGCGGTAGAGAAAAAATGGTTGGTCGGGATGAGTGGAGAATATTCGAATAGAAGAGACTTTGATACGGCAATATATATTCGAAGATTTAACATTTAATACGTACTTTTATTTTTTCTGCTCCTCCCCCCCTCTCCCCCGCTCTTTTTAGACCACCGGGCATAGTCTGGCATAGAGATGGCAACTGTCATTGCAGCACGGACATAAACCGCCTGAAAGTGGATGTAGCATGGACTTCCACCATATGCAGATTTTACCACCGAGACCTGAAAGTGGATGTACTATCGTAGTTCCCCTCTCAAAATGGATGCAGATGGCGTCCTTTCCCAGTGCGGAAAGTCGGTGTCGCAGAAAATGTCGTATTGGCCGCTCACAGGTTATTCTCTGATCATACCTCTTCTCCTATTTGTATTCTTCGGATAACTTTCCTTCTCTGTTTTCCTTTTTCAACGAATCATAACCCTATAAAATTGTCATCTCTGCTCATCGCAAAAGTTCTTTATATTCGCTTTTCAAATTTTTTATATCTGTACTTGAAAATTGATTTTTCTGTTAATAAATTTCCAAATATCATTTGTTTTTAACACTTGATCATTGTCTAAGCAACTCATAAATAAAATATAACAAAAATAGTCTCTATGAAATCTCTAAAAAATTAGTCTTTCTTGACACATATTGTACATTTCCTCTTAATTGGCATATTGTCTGTTATTAATATTAATTCGTGTGGCATTTGTCTGTTATTAATACTAAATTAATATCGCATTTTCTTTAGCAGTGCAAAGAATTGAAAACCATATTTTTCAATGTTTTATAATTTCATAAAAAAATCTTTACTTTAGGTCATGTGAGTCCTTCGTATTATTTCCTCAGTGATACCAACAATCGGCAAATGAGTATCGATGTTTCGAGTAGAATATCGATATCGTTTATACCCGTCCTCTGTTGTACGTTTTTAGCATTATTTAGCTAGTGCTGCCACCGAGTGACAAATTTAAATTCCGCAGAATGTAACGTATCGTTAGATGTTTTTTAGCTGTTGCTTTCTATTTTTCGTGTGACAATTAAACTTGTGCTTTCTCCCAGTATGGCTGATACTAATGATATTTTTATGCAAAATGGAAAAGGTGAGTACACTAATGATTTGGATATATATATTGCTTTATTATTAAAGTAGTTACTAGTGAATATACTTCATGTGCATCTGTGGCCAGCTGTGAACCTCTACAGCTGAAATTCTCACCGAACTGAATTACATATCAAATATTAACTTGTAAATGATTATGAAATTTATAAACTTAAAATTATGATTATAATTATATCATATATATACAATAATATGTATTTGAATCAATTGTTCAAGTTATTTAGAAGTAGAGTAAATAGCAGTATGTTCAAAAAATACATCTTTGACATGATACATCAATTTACATGATAGAGATAGTTCAAATACACTATATTTTAATACAGATAGTGTATTAAAAATATTAATTGAAATTACTATGAATATATATATTAAAGGAGAAGATAGGAAATCTGCTGAAGAAATGGATGCGTTACGTCAAAAAATGTTAGCATATGAATATCTGTGTCATCTGGAAGAAGCTAAGAAGTAATTTAGACTCTATTTTTATCTGTTTTGAAATATAGAGAGGTTTATATTGACAGTTATAACAATTTCTTTCTATAGATGGATGGAAGCTTGTCTGAGAGAGTCATTGCCTCCAACAACAGAATTAGAGGAGAATCTACGCAATGGAGTATATCTGGCAAAACTTGGTCACTTTATGGCACCTGATATTTTGCCATTGAATAAAATCTATGACTCTGAGCAGCGTAGATACAGAGTTATAGGATTACAATTTCGTCACACAGACAATATAAACCATTTTTTAAGATGTTTGAAATGCATGCAACTACCATTGGTATGTATGTTTAAAATATAATATTTTCTACAATATATAAAAAACCATTACGATATATAAATATATTGTTGTAAATGCTAATATATTGATTCGCCTTTATAGACATTTCAACCAGAAACCACAGATATATATGATAAGAAGAACATGCCACGAGTAATATATTGCATCCATGCTCTTAGTACACATTTATTTAAATTGGGGAAAGCACCGCAGATACAAGATTTATATGGAAAAGTAAATTTTACAGGTTTGTACTCCATTGTTTGACATGTTATATCTGATTGAGATATTGAAACAAAATAATAATTCAAGCACTTTTTTGAAAAGAGATATTAAATATTGTATTTTAATACTGTATTATCATGTGTTTCTTTCTAGATGAAGAGATTGACACTGTTAGTAAAGAACTACGAAAATATGGCATTCAAATGCCTGCCTTCCAAAAAATAGGAGGTTTATTAACTAACAATATTACTACTGATACTGCTGCTCTTCATGCTGCTGTAATCGCAGTTAATCAAGCTGTAGTGAAGAAAGTATGCACATTTTATTTAATCCGGCAAGCAATTTTGTAATTATTGGTAACACAAAATGGCTTTTTTTTGTAGGATAACACAATGGTATTACAAGCACTTCAATGTAAAGCAACACAGTTAAATAATATTATGCCTATTCATATTGAAAATTACACCCAAACATTGTCAGAAGCTAAAGTTAAAAAGGTAGAAGCTGCACTTAACAGAGTATGTATTATAATAATATAATTTTATAATTTTACGTATGTTTATATCTAACATATCAGATTTAACAATTAATCTTTTTTATTCATGTCATATTTAGTCTCTCAATGACAGTTATGAGCCAGATGCATATGATGAATTATTAACGCAAGCTGAAATACAAGGACACATTAATTATGTGAATGGTAAGTATAAAATAGATTTTGATAATTTTTATAGATGTAATAAAAATATTTGACTTATAACTTGTTATTATGATGAAATATATTTCAGCTCATTGTGCGCTAAAAGCTATTGTTTCATCTGTATATTGTAAAAATAATCAAATAATATCTGCTCTGATGATACAGACGTTATCTCTCAAGGTATAAGAGTATTTGAAATATTACGATTATTTATTAAAGATATATTTTTTGTTACAATATTAATATTAAAATCGTTATTTCTCACAGAATATAATACCTGAAAATGCTGAAATATACAACGAAGAACTGAGACGGCTATTCGAGAGCGCCGAGTGGCACGACATATTTTCTAAAAGCATTCACTACTGGAGAAATCTGCTTCAGAACTCGATTGATGAGGGAAACGAAATTGCACTAAAATATCGCAAGCGTTAGTACCATTTAATGAGATTTTTATAAACAATTGATAGAAAATATTCAATACAACTATGATTAATTACAGGAGAGGAAACTGTGACACGTTTAAATATGGCTTTATTACAAAATACTGATGAAGAGAAATTTTACGAAATCTTGCGGAGCCCTTACTTGGGAATTGCTCGTCACATCGATGAATTTGCAGTCCCATTATACTACCAGGAGATGAAAGAAGATCGCTTTGAATCGGAGGTAAAGTAAAAATTCACAAATTTAACACAATCTAGAAACAAAATCGACAATTTTTCCCACAGGATAATATTACTTACGACGACATAGTAGTCAGCATAACTGTGTTAACCGCTATCGCATCTATTTCCAAAGCGGTAGACACGGCAAATCCAGACCTTGTATATGAAAAACTGTCGAGTGCCGACGCACGTATATCCGTAAGTATAATAATAAGCTATAGTTATTTGCAAGAATAGAAACGAACTGTTTAAACATAACATTGGAACCCACACACATAGGACCTAGACGAAGACAATAAAGTGAAATATACCCAGGAATTGGCGAATACTCGACACGAAAAGCAACTAAGTAATCTGAAGTGCTCTTTGTTAACTTACAGTGATATTCAAATATGCATCGATTCAGTAAACTCACAGTGCATTAAAAACTCTGAAGGTATAACAAATGTATTAAATAGGTCTCGATTGTGTGTGTATGCATCATGCTATCAAGTTAATATTGATAATTCCTTTAAACAGTCATAGAGATTTTACAACGATTAAATCGGGGCGTAATTGAGAACGATTATGATAGCTTGACGGAGACTTTTAAAACGATACGTGCGAAGCTCAATATACACATGTATTCGTACGACATAACACTTTATCTAAAGCTGTTCAAGAAACGCTTAATAGAGAAACAATCTGATGGGTCTGAGTTATGGCTAGATGACATTGAAACTATAGCGGAAATGGTTAAATCTGAAGACATGAAAGTCGAAAATAGTACGTTCATAAATATGCATTTATATTATTTTTAGTTAGAATTTGTCATAATAAATATAAATTTTCATTCATTATCTTTATGTATTACATTGTATTTGCTTGCAGTGATTACATTTTTGCATGATATTAATGATGCTGTGGAACGGGATAATATGCCAGATATAATTGATTGTCTTCAAACATTCGGATGTACACTCGATGAAGCATATCACGAGGAATGTTATCAATCATTACGACAGTTACAGAAGCGAAAAGTAAAAGTTCTTATAAAAATTATACAGAATATCTAGAATTTGGAAAAAAAGAACCAATGTTTATTTCTTTTAAAACATACGCACGCACGCACGCTTTAAAACATACGTACACCATATAATAATTATTTAATTATAGTTATCTATCTAATTATTGTAGCGCGAAATGTACAGCTCCTCGTACGTTTTATATATTACTGATGACGGAAATGAAGCTTATATCGATGTAGACAACGGTGGGTATACATGGGATCAACCAACAGACATTATGGAATCTTGCTATATCACGAGGGAAGATGTAAAAGTATGTATTCCTTTTTGCATCTCTGTGCTCTTATTCATTTATTATTAAAAACACATGTCACCAACATTCTCTTTATCCTGTATGTTTGTAGGAAATAATTGAATCTATTGGCGTAACATCGAAGGAACGTGAGGAATTTCACGAAAGTAGAATATTCGAAGAAATCATCATCAGATTTCAGGCTTATATTCGGGGATATTTGCTGCGTAGAAAGATTCACGAAATACGCTCTCAGTTTAAAAAGAATGTAAGGAAAGTTATCACGATACAAGCATGGTGGAGAGGCGTTATGCAACGTAAACGATATCTCAAGTTTCTGGAAAAAAAACGACAAGATGCAACATTAAATAGGGACGAATCATTAAACGCGATAACAATGGATAATTATGATATATTAAATCTATATAAGAACAAAGTGAGTTTTTAATGGAATTTTTGCTCAAATATTTCAGTTACTGCTTTTTATTGGTACACTCTAAGTATTCTCATAAAATTTCGCCTCCGCAATAGCAAGATATTAAGCGGATTATAAAGATACAGGCCTTGTGGCGTGGCCGAATATCCAGGAAAGCTTTTCATTCGTTGCTGTACTCGGAAAAACCGTCATTCGCTGTGGTCAGACATTTTTCAACGGTATTAGGTTTCAACGCGGAAGATTATGACAAGGATCTGGAGCTACAGGTACGATAACTCTTATGTTGCTTATTTCGTTACTTAATTGCGTACCAGGATTCTATCCGCATATCCAAGTTCCTTTCACAGCCGTTTGTTTCAGAAATTGAAGCTGGATGTTGTGCAGGGTATAAAGCACAATCAAAATCTGTCGCAGCAGCTGGATAGTATGTACGTCAAAATAGGATTGTTGATCCAGAATAGAATAGCATTACAGGTACATCTTCCAAAGTTTGACATCTTGCGTACTTGTAATTATAATTTTGTTGAAACGCATATTATATGTTTATTTGTAGGATGTGGTAGTGCATAGCGAGAACCTGGATACTCTTGCAAAGGAGAAGAATGAGACTGAGGATCAGGCGATTGTAAACGACAGTATTATGACGAAAGCGCACAAGGGTCTTAGATCGCTGACGAAAGAGGGCCGTAAAATGCTGGAGGGATACCAGCACTTATTTTACGCGTTGCAAACAAATCCGCAGTATTTGTCGAAATTGTTGCACTTGCCTCCTCAGGGCAAGACGAACAAATTATTTCTGAAAAACGTTATCCTGACATTGTTCAATTTTGGTTCGAACACGCGAGAGGACTATCTACTGCTGAAGCTTTTCGGCAGCGCGTTAAGGGAAGAGATTAGATGCAATTGCGACAAACCCTCAGATGTCTTGACCGGCAAACCGCTTGTGCGCGAGATGGTGGTGAGTTACGCGAAACAGTTGAGCGGTCAGGGATTATTGAAGCAGGTCGTGGGACCATTAATCGAAAAAGTCCTAGGAGATGGAAGTCTGTATCTCGAGACGAATCCATCCGACATATATAAGATGTGGCGAAATCAGCTGGAAATGGAATCCGGCCAAATTCAAGACATGCCTCAGACGGTGTCTCGAGAGAGCGCATTGAATTTTCCTCACGTGATCAGAGCGTTGAACACAACAATAAATAATCTGAAAAGTATCTCTCTCGAGTTTCTGAATAAAATAACGGAATCTCGCGATTGGATACCATACGGAATGCTTTACATGGCGAAGGTCCTGTACGATTCATTAACAGATAAGTTCCCGCACGCTCCTGAGAAGGATATTTTGAAGGCCGTCGGCAATTTAATTTACTATCACTTCATCAATGCTGCAATCGTAGCGCCCGACACCTTTGACATCGTGTCGTTGCCGGTTGACAAGTCGTTATCCAGCAACCAGAGGCGGAATCTGGCCACGATTGCCAAGATTTTGCAGTTCGCCTCCACGAAGAAGGGTTTCGGCGACGAGTCACCACATTTGGGATGTCTTAATCAGTTCATAATCGATTGCCACGAACGGTTTAAGAGCTTTTTCCGACACTGTTGTCAGGTGGAGGATCTCGAAGAGCACTTCAATATTCATGAGTACACGGAAGCTACGCTTATACAAAAACCGGAGATTTGTATATCCTTACAGGTGAGCGATCAACTGTATAAATATTCAATAACGGGTGACTAACACGCAATTAACGTGAACGGTTTGTAGGAAATATGTGACATACACAATTTGGTGCTGAAGTATCAGGATGAGATAGCGCCAGATCAATCTGATCCTTTGCACGACTTGCTGGAAGACTTAGGTCCGGCTCCAACTGTGGCATCGTTACTCGGAATATGTGAGTTTAAATAGGATACAGAATAGGATACAGAAATCGACAAACACATTATTATATGTGATATTTATTATTAGTGCCTATTCTCTCCTCTCCGCAGCTCAATCGACATATGAAGCGAATTTACCGCGATATAGCAAGACCGAGGTCTGTTTGGTGTTGACTAACAAGTACCAAGTGCCGCGACATGACGACGCTAATCTAAATAATCTTTTCATACAAGCGAAAGAGTTGCTCGTCTCGGTTCTTCCGTTTTTAAAGAGGCAGACTTTAATGGAATCTTTGGAAACCACTTGTTCTCCGATGTACGTGAAGCTGTACGATCATGAACATTCGATAGCAGCTCCGACATTACATGTTATTCGTGAGAGGTATCTTTTTCGATGTTCAAGACCTAATATTTGTATCTGATGTATTTCGTAATGAGTTTTACATTTTTACGAAAATCTCCGTATCACACCAATACTCTATACAACTGTTAAAAGATCAAGATGCTTCGCAAATTATTAATACGTGATGATATCTTCATGACAGCTCTTCCATAAACGACTGCAAGCTGCAATTACGCTCGTACCTGCACAAACTCGAACTCGAGGGATGGGTTAGCCGTGTGGATGGTTATCAAACGATTGTGACTGCTATAGCGAAGGATATTTGCAACAAGAAGAAGTACCGTGTTATGAGAGATAAGGAACTGCAAACACTGCGTGCGACTAAAGAACGATTGGAGGAGAAGACCAAGTATTACGAGGAGCAAGTTGAATTCTATAATCAGTACATACAACGTTGCCTTGAAAACTTACACACCGGAAAAGGGTATGTTGAGCTTCACGTTGACTTGCTTTAATCGGGCTTCGTCATTGGGCTTTTAAGTGGAATAATAATAAAATTACCTCATTTTTAAAAACAGTTGTCAAAGTCATATAAAAGTTTTCCGATTTTCAAATGTTTGGAATAAAAGGAAGTTTTCAAATGAGTTTTCTTAAAGCAAAGCGCGATTGAGGAATAACGTATCGATTCTTCGCATTAACCTATTAATCATATGCAATGTTCTTCACGTCGATCTAAAAAGTATTCACAAGCAATATCTTGATAACAAGTCACTGTAATTCTTTACAGTGCACGTCGTGCCTATCAAGCACTGCAGAAAGATACGCACGGCAAACTGAGATCCAAAATGACGTTAAGATATTCCGCCTGGAAGCTGCAAGAGAAGGGCGTGCTGGTGGAGGTCGACGGTTTAACACAAACGGAGCTGAGAAACGTCATCTTCGAAATAAGCCCAACAGAGCATGGCGGTCTCTTCGCGGTGAACTGCCGTTTTATGGGCCTCGAGATGGAGAAACTCGACATCAACATACAGGAGTTACTGCAACTGCAATACGAAGGTGCGTCTATTATGAATATGTTCGACAGGGCGAAGGTCAATGTGAACTTGCTCCTGCATCTCCTTAATCGGAAGTTTTACGGGAAGACCTGAATACAACCTCGCTCGAAAACGCATATCGGCAAAGTTTGAGAAACCAAATTCTTGAACGAAAATGAAGTTGATTCGACGCGTATCATCTACGTGCAATTTATTGCTAGCCGAACGTACTTAGAAAGCGAGCACCTGGTCACTGCGTTCCGTCGCTATGACAAATTGGACGAGTAATTCGTGTTCAGTACTTCCATATGTCGAGAGTGTTCTAGAAGTCGATAGACTAATATGCTAAATATGTAATACGCAGGGTGCGACAGATTTCTAAGATTTCATTTCACCATGCGTTGATATTTTCCTGTTATCTTCTTTCGATTATTTTAAATATAGCTGAAAGAAATAAATAAAAAAATAAAATGAGAAAATAGTTCTTAAAGAAAGTATAGCAATAGAAATATTCTACGTCAGTGATATTTCAGTTATTAATTAATGAGCTTGCAAAAGCCAAATTCTGTTCAATCTCATGTGCATTTTTAACTTTGGAAAGTTCAAAAATTTGTGCGCAAAAAAAACAGAATATTTATAAACAAGAAAGTTGATCCATTTGGCTTCTGTAAGAGATTTATTCATCAATAATTTGTATATTATTAATGTGGAATATCTCTATCATTCGTATCCTTTTTATTGTACTTTTACTTTTTTTTTTTTTTTTTTTTTTTTTTAAATATAAAGTTCTGCTTTCTCATTTGCTGCTTTAAACTGCAGTTGAAATAATCGAAATAAAACAACGACCTATCATATATTTTATACGACATAATTTGTCGATAAGTATTGTTAACGCAGAGTATTTCTACAAATTGCTTTCTATAAAACCTCGCAATCTTTTGCGCCCTAACGATATATGCATTTTTGAGCAATCCGTCTAGTCTTAAGTCTAGGTGTAATATGACGTCTAGATATAATGTACGCGTTGTAAATAATCGTATCTGTGAAAAATTGAAAGTATTAGTATGCAACGATCGGTCAAAGTCATGTATATATGACGCTTCTGTGTATTTATATCCGTGATTATGAATTAGAATATACAGACGTCATGATATGGACTTAAAATATTAGATATACTTTTAATATTTTTTACTTTTATTTGTGACACTGTAATATACTGTCTTAATAATCAAGAATAGTATTAAAGTATATATGTTTTTATCAATTTTAATAAATATGTGTTCTTTGTTCCCCCTAATCATATTAGATTTAGGCCCATTATTTTTACAAATTAGTAACTAATTATTACAAATTAGTAATTAATTAGTAGTGTTAAAGTAGTTACTATTTTGTGAAAAATAATGGATCTAAATAAAGAATAAACAGAACTCGGATCCGTTATTACCGGACCAGAGATATAAAAATAAGGGGTCTAATTTTGAGATGAGGACTAGACCCGTTATTTTTGCAAATTAGTTTCAAAGTCTCCGCTATGAGTCGCCACTTTCCTTAATGAATTCAATTCAATAGATAGCTCTGGGCGTGTGGGTTGTCGCTCCAATGCCACTCTGGAACATTTCCTTAATGAAGAAATGAGATAGTGATGGGTTAAGCCAGCGGCACACGGTGCTTGTTTTCGTGCTGGATTGTTTGCTGGATAAAAATACTGCGTTCTGATTGGTGCATTTCCATCCATCTTCGGAAATGTACCAATCAGATGCCGTGTGCCGCTGGCTTTAGATAGGCTTTGTACTTAAACCCAGTACACCTTTTTGTACAACCTTTATTCAATAATAAAAAAACGAGGTAGTGATACGACTCAATAGCAGATTAGCCGTTCTCTATTCCGTTCTGAAAAATAGAAAATTCAACGGGCTGTAACTTTAACAAAAATCATGCTATCGAAATGGTTCGAAAAGTATTATAAAACTTGAAGACCATATTTCTTAGGCATATTAATAACGCTGCTGCAGTTCTATAAGTTAAATAATCAGAAGCGACTTTTTAATTTTTGTATTCAATATATATGTATGCATTACATCCTAGATTAATTTATTCATTTATTACACTATTACTTTTATTAATATTTTGAATTATCGTTCATTTACTTCTCCTTTTTATTTCTTGCATTAGTGCAGAAAGCAAGAAAGTTCAGCTGTAAACGAGAGTGAGGTTTTTGAGGTTCTAACAATGGTTGCGTTCAGAAAACAAAGCGCTCACTGAGCGCTTAGTAACTATTGGTCCTTACTGTTAAGGTCATTTTACAATACGTGTCGTAAGTTGTAAGCCGTAAGAACTGGCCAATTATGGCCGATTATTTTTATAATAATTGATTGTGATTCGCCAATTCTTACGGCTTACAACTTACGACACGTATTGTAGAATGACCTTTAGATCCTTACATTCAGACCAATAACGTGGACGAATTACTCAACCGTTGTGTAACCATTGTGTTTTCTGAACGCAGCCAATTTTCTCACCTGTATGCTCATCTGAAATTTAAAAACCATCTTAAGGTAAAATTTTGTCTAAGTAGTCTACAAACCATTATTTTAATTCACTATGTAATGTAATATTTCAAATAAATATTAGAATGTTCCTCTACAGAAATAAATCTCTACTGTAACATAAATCTGATATCTAAAAATTAATCAGATTGATTTAGTTGTGTTTCCTTAAAAGACTTGGTTACAATCTTATTACTGATATATTATATATTTCCCTTCTTCCAAAATATAATCATATATAAACAGTTTATTTTTTATATAAATATATATGCATATATCTGTTGTTAGAAAATGGCTACTACGTCAACTACAATAAACATAGAAAATGATTCTACCAAACATGGGGACAACACAGAGATAAAAAAACAACTTAAAGAGAGAGCTGAAAGGAATCGTCAGAGAGCTATGTTATTAAAGAAATCCAAGATTATAACACATCCCTATGCAAATAGGTAGTTATTTGAATGTTTATTAAATAAATATTTGAAAGATATTTTATTATAATTAGTAATATACTCGATTATTATAGCGACTCAACAAGCAAAAGATTGTTAAAAGTACAAGGACAGCGTGTTATCGACAGTGGTGGAGGCTTTCTCATAGAAGAAAATGGTGATCTGGAACAGCAAATGGTATATCACAATATATGTTTTTATATAATATTTTTGAAAACATTTAGTATATAACTTTTGTTTTATTAGTTAAAAATAAGAATAGAACCAGAACCTGTGCTTGGTAAATTCAACGATTGTGAAGAATGTCAACAAAAATTTGGTGATTCATATCTTTTACATACATTTGATCTTTCGGTCTGTGATGAATGCAGGTATGATTAATAAAATATAAAATAAATTGACATATTAATAACTAAAAATCTGTCAGCAAAATGAAAAGTTTTTATCAAATCTCTATTTGTCTAGAGATAAGGAAGGAAAACATTCATTAATTACTAAAACAGAAGCTAAACAAGATTATTTATTGAAAGATTGTGATCTTGATAAACGGGAGCCTGCACTAAAATACATCATACGGAAGAATCCACACAACTCAAATTGGGGCGAAATGAAGTTATATTTGCATTTGCAAATTGAGCAAAGAGCTTTGGAGGTTTGGGGTTCAAAACAAAACTTGTTGAATGAAAAAGTAATGCGCGATATCAAGCGAGAGGGAGCAAAAATTAAGAAATTCAATAAAAAGGTATCTTGACTAATTATATTTTTTCTCACATTGTGAAGTTGAGACTGAATTAATTCTCGTATGTTTCACTGTTATGAAGATGAAAGAGTTGCGCATGCAAGTTAGAAGTTCTTTGTATGATAAGACAACCAAGGCTGCGCATGTTCATGAATTTGGAGAAGATACATACAACAAAGAAGACGATACATATACACATACCTGTACAACCTGTGGTTATGAAGAAACTTATGAAAAAATGTAACAATGCACATTACAACAAATATTTGTAGCAGCATGAATTATATACAATTGGTTCAATTTTTTATACTGAAATATACAACTTTGTTTCGAAAATTTGTGAAAAAATGCAATAGTATGGATATTATGACAATATGAACGATATATTTAATTCTTTTGTACAAGTCAAATATATATCAACCATATCTTATATCTTTCATTTGTACCATACATAAAGTACTTTTATTGCAAAATTCCTATTTTGTACATCTGTTACATAACTTAATAATATTACTGATATGTTATAATAATAACATATCAAATAATATATAATATATAATAAAACAATCATCAAATAATATATAATATATAATAAAACAAATAATATATAATAATACCGAGGTGACATTGGCTAGAATATGAGCACTTGGACATGGTGCAATGCAGAGTGATAGGTGCACTTATGTGTTATTCTATTTTCTACATTAATATAAAAATTACATGCATATGCCAATATTATTAATATTAAGTCTGTCTCTGTTATTATTGTCCCATCGATAATAAATATTTATTAGGAAAATGAAATAAATAATCAATCAATCATCAATTTTTTCAAGAAATTTTATATTTTAAAATTTACGTATATTTATTTATATATAATATTGTACTCATGTCTATTATTTGTTATAGTATTTTATTATCTTTTCGTTTTTATTTACATTTCTTATTTTTTAAACAAGTTTTCTACTTTTCTATTTTTTTTCTACTTTCGTTTTTTACAATATGATGCTATACATTAGAATAACATCGTTGTCTAATATTTCATTATTCAATGCGTACACCAATTTTTTCCATCATTGAAATGTTAATAAAACGATAGTAAATTTGTATGATATCTTTTTGATAAAATATCTGCGTTTCTCTATCGCTTTCTTAAACATTTCAATCGGAAGACATTTTATAATGAGCCATATGATCCATAGAACTGTTCCCGGAAGAAAAGAATTAGTGTTCCTGTGGGAAGTCCGCACAAAGGTATTGCGAAGACGCAGTTAGCTTGTCATCAGCAGCGTTACTATGCTTAATGTTCATTGAGTTACTAACTGCGATAGATGACCTGCAAACATAAAAAGATACACAACGTAACCGATTGTTTTTATATTTGAAAATCATTAATATTTTGGCAAATTAAATCGATATATTGATGAAAAACGAATAGATTATGTTCACAATAGAAAAGTTCCTTAAATTCGTAGCTTTGCAAGATCTCGGTATTACACATGCACTTTGTTTCTCTTTTCAGATACGGATTTAAGACGATTTAAGAATAAGCTACTCAACCTGCTGATATTTTCATAAACTACTTTAACAATTCTTGTTCTTGATGTTGAGCTGTTCTAGCAGCAGTATGGACATACTTCTTATAACGATAATATTTTATCAGATAAGCTATGCGACTTTTAATTGTACCTGTTATGCCTAAGATGACTTTTGACTAAATGCCCGGCGGTTAACGCAGCCATCAGAGATAACTCTCCGGCGAGCACAGTGGCGCAAACAATCCGAGCAAGTTTGCTGGCGTTTTCACCGGGTTCGGTAGCGTGTGCGCCTTTCACACCCAGCATAGCTAAACATGCCGCTTGCGCTGGCAAGCCTGTACCACCGCCCACTGTGCCAATTTCTATGCTAGGCATTGTGCAAGATACATAGAGATCTTGGCCTTCTTCACCCCAAGGTTCCATCAACGTCATACAGTTACTGCTACCAACATTTTGTGCGGGATCTTGCCCGGTAGCGATGAAGATTGCCGTCACAATGTTCGCAGCGTGTGCATTAAAGCCTCCTATACTGCCCGCCACTGCGGAGCCGACCATGTTCTTGCTGATGTTCACGTCAACTAGCGCATGCACCGATGTCTTCAGGACACTCGTGACGACATCCGCCGGCACGACCGCCTCGCACACTACACTCTTGCCTCTACCTTCGATCCAATTGACAGCCGCGGGTTTTTTGTCAGTGCAGAAATTACCGCTAAGCGATAATATCTCCATGTCCGGGAAGTGACTCTGTACCGTTTGCAGAGACTTTTCGGTGCCCTTCGACAGCATATTCATGCCCATCGCGTCGCCGGTCTTCGCGACAAAGCGAACGAACAGATGTCGACCGGCTATGCGCACGTGAATCCGCGTTAACCGGGCGAAACGACTGGTCTGATCGAAGTTGTCCTTCATCTCCTGGAAGTTTTGCTCTTGCTGCATCCACGACATGGCCTCGCTCGCCCGGACGATACTGGGGAATCGTACGACCGGTCCCCGGGTCATACCGTCCGCCACTATGCGACTCGTTACGCCGCACTTCATCAGCGCCCGGCTGCCGCGGTTGGTAGATGCCACTAGACAGCCCTCGGTAGTCGCCATTGGCACATGATACAGTTCACCGTCGATTAACAGTGGTCCGGCGATCCCGACTGGCACGGGGAGGTAGCCGATCACATTCTCGCAGCATGAACCTAGCACCTTGCTGTAGTCGTAGTTCTTATAAGGCAGATCGGCTATCTCCTCTGTGAAATTGCCGACGGCACCGATCATCAGGCGTCTGATCCCGACGCCGCGTTCCATGTCACCCACAGCTTTCTCCAACTGATAGGCAGCTATGTGTTTGTGTTTTACCAACTCAATCACTTCTTCATCCGTCAATGCGTTAGCTCCGAGCTAAGAGACAAAGAAGATATTGATGTAAAAGGAGAAGATGTCACTCAATGTGTTTTACGATTAATTAAACATGTATGAAAATCAGCACTATTCTTTATCCTTTATTTTGTCATAGTTATCACATTATAATAATTATAAGAAAAGGTGATGATAAAAAAAGTAGAAAAAATAAAAGTAGCAGTTAACGATACGCGATATTTTATTAATTATTCACGTGGTTTAATCTAATTTTTAATTTTCATAAAATCATTGATAATTATCACTCATTGATAAGTCATTATTAATATCAATCACTGATAAATCATTATTGTAATAATTTTTCTTTGTAAAGAAATTATTGTTTTAATTTATTCAAGAGTCATATCTTAATTAATTTTTTATAACTTAGATGTCTAAGTGTCTAAGAAAACTTACTTCTATTTATTCTGTACTTTATATATCGGATGATGGATTAACATCAAGGATGAAATATTTAATTCTTACCTCAGATTTATATATTTCTAGGCACTTTTTCACGCTTCTAGGAACTTCAGGTATCTTCGACGACGAGCTCTCGCTAGCCAAGTCGTACGCACCGAAATATTTATCGAAATTTGTTTCAGTTTGTACTTCCTTGTCCGAATATTCCACGTTCCTTTCGTTGTCATTTTCAATCCATCCACCACCAATCCCTGAGAGTGGAAAAATTGATGGTTGCTGGGTCGACTGTAATGCTTTTTCTCTGAATCGCCGTCGCAAGGACATGTCCATGCCTATTGTATTCGTGTCATCCGAAGCGAGGTCATCGATTTCCGCTTCTATCTCCTCCGTTTCTGTCTCTTCGTCATTTCTATCTAAGAAAATAAACTTGACCGACAGCGCCAGCGCTAGAATAATTATCACAAAGTGTTCCGGCTTGACGGTCTGCATGTTTAACAAATGTCCGGTCAGTTCGGAGTTCTCAGTCTTGTATGAACCATTCGTTACTTCTGCCCTTACAGATGTTGCCACTGCTTCCGCTGTGTGTTCGGGCTCTTCAGTCTTGAAAGGCCAACGGCTGTAACATTTAATTAATCAATTAAATATAATTGGCACATGAAATGTATACCAATTATTGTATGATATACAGGGTACATCTCAGATCTACGATATTATTATGTAATAACGGATTCCTCAAGCAATCGACAGTCGAATTTCTTCTAGAGAAAATATTGAGAGAAAGAAAGATCATTGTTTATTTTCAAATTCCTATCGTTCATCGAAAAAAGGCCGATTCCAATCAAAAAGTAATAAAAACTAATGAGTTCAAAGCCAATGTGGTACGAAGGAAGCACTTTCCATCTAAATGTATCGCGGAGGAATGTTATTAAGAAATTACCTGTTCTTTTTAAAAAGAATTAACATTAGATGTTAACATTAATATGTAATCTTAAAAAAATGTAGCTATAAAAGGATCTAGAATCATATTAACATATAATTTTGCAAGGAAACATCACGTAACCATAAGACCGATTTAGACGACGTGACGTCAAGAATTAATTATAGCGAATGTCAGCATAAAAATCGCCTCACATAAAACGCCACATTAGTATGAAGTTTATTTGCTGTTTCTTGTTAGCTGATAGAGACGACGTGAATCTAACACTGCTCTTCCTGAAACTGAACGAACATCTGCGATGAAAAGCGCCCAGCGGAAGAGGGCCCAAAGTGTGTTCGCTCCCTCTCTGTGACGCTTATTTTCGAACCCTCATTTTACTTTGTATGAGCGGCCGATCTTTTGTATGCGAGTTATTATTATCCTCATGCAATATTAAAACGCGTAACACGTCAACATATAATTCATTCGGACCTCGTTCAAAAGCGCAGCATTCTGGATATGTCAAGATAATAAATTGTTAAAATCATAAATTGTAATTACGGCTGTACAGCAATCGGAATTGGAACAAATTGCGTTTCAATATATCATCGTAAACAAATATTTTATCTTTTATATATGGAGCTTGGTACACAGTACCGAGTTGCAGTAACACGTGCAATGACGACGATTTTCCACATCTGTAGGTGCGATTGATAATCACAAAAAACGTCGTAGTAGTACAAACGTCAAATCTAATGAAGCCGACCTCTATAATTTTTGTTTCTTTTTTGTCAATATTTCTCGTCTGTCTGTCTTGAATGTCTGGGTCTTGAAACGGAGGAAAAAGCGAAGATGCAGAGACGTTTATGCGCATCAATGCGCGAATTACTCGACCTCGCGGTATCGATAGACCTTTGAAAACGCAAAAACTCCGAATGTCTTGAATATGGATTACATACGTTTGTACCCTATTCCGATGTGTTGGAGGATAAATCTGACCCTCCAGAATTAAAAGATAGCGATATGCTAAGTGATAGGCGCGCGCAAAAACATTAGTAAAAAGGAGAATTACAGATGTATAGTCTTATCATGTCATCGTTCGTGCTACGTGACGTTGCGTTGTATCAAGTTACAAAGTCGAATGAATTTGTAATTTGACATTACATCCAGAATGACGAAAAACATCACGCACACGGCGAAATACAATATAGAACATAATTCGTGTCCCTGTATCGAAACATAATATAAATACCTGCTGGTGTGCACCATAAATAGGCCGAAGATCATAATCGTTTTGACGCGTTGTACTACGGGGTTCGTCTTTTGATTCTCCTCGTTCAACAATTGCATTATAAACCTCTTGTCCACGCTCAGTTGCCCCATACTGTTATTTCTGCGATAAAGCTGTAAATATATCGCTGGAATAACTTGTCTGTTTTTAACCGGTGGAGACGTGCGACTACATTTCGGACTCAAAGAAAGGTAACAAAGTCGCAGGAAGAAGGTGCGGAGAAAGTGAATGCAAAGAACCAGATTCCAAACGGTTATGACGAGCTCAGTCAGTATTTCAAGTTACCTCCAGTATAAGCGACAGACACGCCGGGTAGAACGTCATGAACACAATGTAGTTGACGATGACGCCTAAGCACGCAAAGGTGCATATGACTTCTAGCCTACTGACGCCCGATAACGATCCTATGCCGATGAGAAGAAACTCCACGATAGTGTCGAGAGTGATGCTTGGTCCCAGAAGCGACATGCCGCGTGCAATGTTCGTTCGGACTTCCTCCTGACTTCTCGAACTCAGTGCGTACTTGGCTAACGTACAGGCCTTCGAGAAGTCAATCAGAAGTAGGAAGAAGAATAGAACATGCCTGGAAACATAAACATTCTTGGAAAATGATATATAGCATCGCAGTGAGAGAAGAGACAGATATCCGCGCACAGATACAGCGAACGTACAGAACGAGTCGCCAGTAATAGAGCATTTAAAGATTCCTCCTCTGAGAACTCTCCTCTTTAGACGTATAAAAGATAGTCTGATACAATTGATATTCATAAGTTTACTCGCCAATATATTACTGAGACGTCCGCGTATTCAAAGAGACTCGCACAATGAAAGCTGAATAACTTGGACAATGATCCATTTTCTTCCGGATCTACGTGGTGCTCTGGTTCTAACGATTCATTCTTTACATGAAATGGCAAATACTTACTTCAAGTCAGAAGTGTTAGCCCGGTCATAGTTCACTAAAGTGCTAGTAAACATCACGCTGGAGAATATGGTAAAGACGCTGGCGATACCTGCAACAGTTGAGTATAAGATATTGATATCCATGAGACATTCTCGAGGTCAGAGGTACATTAATCGACGAACTGATTATACGTCAATCGAACGTTATTGTGCTATTGTTGCAAAAGAATGACGCGTTACGCGCGTTACGTTTGTGCAACGCGAATCTCATCGCGAATTGATAGCTCACTAACGATTTGCGTGTGCAACATCTCGAACATTGTAGGTGCGTACGTTTCGTATAATTAAGTATATAGCGGGCATCCAATAACAAGGTATAATCGTATGTGCGCGCGCGTGCACGACGATGCTACGTGCTAAGCGCTATCGCTTTCCATGATACTTTCACCGCCGCCGAGGGCTTTCACGCACCGCTCGAGAAGATCCGGTTTTATGAATGATCTGAGCATGCATAATTATTACACATTTATTTCTCCGCGATATTACACATTCAGTTCTCCGTAAGCACTTCTGACTTTAAAACGGGCAGGAATATACGATAGACCGCACGATTTTTACGAAAAAATATGATTAAGCTCGGAAATCAATACGTGATAATTCCGGTATTTAATATATCGTTCACACATGAAGGATAAAATCACGCTTACCTAAAACATATTTGGGTCCTATTTTTTGTAGATTACGAAACAGGTAATAGGTAAACAATATATTAAAACAGCATATTATCGTCCTCAGTATAATATCCACTGCTTTCTGTTCCTGATAAACAAAACGATTTTTTGTTTATCAAAATTAATTTTAACGATTAAGTTTAACGATTCTCATTCAATATGCGAGCTAAACACATTCAGTCTAAAAATATCTTTATCTTATGCTTACTTAAAATAATAAATTGCTCGTCCCGAAATATAATAAATATAGCATTTGATTATTGATGCGAATGTTTATAAGCAACTTATAAGCAAATGAATGTTTAAAGGAAATTCATAAGCAATTTTAGTATAGCAACTTTATAGGATGGTTGCAAAACAAAGTCGATAGGTGTGTGAAAGTAGTGAGAAATTCAAATTTCTCATAGGATCTGCTTACGTCACTATCGCATTTGCCGTGACGACAACGCGTAAGGTTGAGTAAACTTCCTTCGCGCAGCAGACTGTTTCCTGTCTCCATGTTGAATATGCACGCTGTCAAAGTGAAGGTCGCCACGATCACCTCTACAGGATGACCGGCGCAGAACCGTCCGTATATCTCGAAGAAGCGTGCCATTGTGTCTTTGCCGCAAAAAAGCGCTATGCAAAATCTGCAACGTGCGAAAGATTTTTCATTTTCTATCTCATCGACTATTTGAAAACTGACAGTATATTATAATTCGATATTTACGCCGAGGAAGGGAGATCAATTCTAGTTCGATCGAGATATATCGCGTCAGACGAAAATTATACGATCTCGTAAGCGCGTCTCCCCGCCAAAACTAATTTCTATATCTCTGTTAAACGGGTCGGCAAAAAAAGACCTGAAGAGAACTCTCTTTCTCCTGTAAATGTTCGAAGAAACGTCACAGGATCGAGGCGATACGATAATGAATTAACATGCAATACGATACCCAAGAGACAAGACCACCTATTTGGGGAAAGTATCAAGATGTTACGTGACATCTTACGGGTGTCAACGTAGTCGTCATATTGTGTGAGTTATATAACAGTGAACTGCGGGTGTGTGTCTTTAAACTAACTCTGAGATTTGATCTCGTGATATTTGGTTTTTACTTTATTGGACATGCTAAATAATTTTCTGATATCATTTATCATACGCATAATTTGTGAACAAGAAACAGAGAGGCAGAGAAGGAGAAAAGAAGAAAAAATCGAACGAATAAGAACATGTTTAAATAATCAATCGATGTACACATACTCTCTGAAAGTGAATCAGTGAAACTCACTATCAATCAGCGATTATGCACTAATTGTCACTTTTAGAGAGTACGAGTTAGCAAGTCCAATTAATTCGATAAGCGCTCCAGAGTGTTAATAAATATCTATTATGTCGCTGATACAATTTGATGCTGCTAAACCGTGCACTTCCGTGAAAAAAGCGCTTATCTCCACGGTGATTCATCGTGATAATGATTTATTCCACATTTCTGAGGCAATCAGGACGGTGTGAGAATTTTCTTCGATAATACGTTGCGACAACTTTGCATATGTTGCAAGATTGGCGATTCCCGAATATCTCAAATAATTCACACCTTTTAATCGGTCGACCGCCGAAAACACCATAATTTCGTTTCATGCGCATGTTACTATATATTTTGAAGTGTCAGTCAATAAATCTGCGAAGTAAAGCGTACGAGATTTATATCTCGTAGAGATATTTTTATATGATTATTTTGTTCGTTTCTTTCTTCAAATCATTAAAATAATACCACGTAGACTACGCCTTTATATAACGATATACAAGAAATGTGAGACATATCGCACTTCTCATGTTTATTAATTATCAAAATTAATTCGGGAGAGAAAAAGTAATTTGCTGGCACGCAACTCGAAAGAACGAGATGTCTGTCAAGGTCGGTGACTTTCCAAGAGCCGAGGTATTCAAGAATATTTCTACACCCGACTGACCGTTGTACTCTTCTTGCTTTCAACAGGTGCTACTGCGTTAAGACATTCCATTATTTTCAAAGTATCAATGAACGCAACGGAGGGACAGCAAGGAAGAAATAAAATAAAGAAAGTCGCACAAGTGACGGAAAATAATGACAATTAGCTTGGGGCAAATTAGTCTGAATCTATTAGCTATCTTGTAGAATAAATTACGTTTTCGCAATGATCGCCCGATGGAGTGTATATCAACTACTGAAGAAAGTATCGCTTGCAAAATCGCAAATTTCGTCAGTTCGACTTCATCAGCGGAGTGCTTTATAATGTGACCTATGATGGAATTGGAACGTTCGCGATAAAGTGCTAATAGGAGGTGGTTTACGAGAAAGAATAGGAGGTTTTAGAGATTCACAGTAGCCGCCGAAAAGGAAGAATAATCGATTAGCTACATTTCTAATATATGTTATGTGTTATATATGTATATTATTAAAATCTTGGACTTTCTAGGCGAGATCCACACGTGAAAAATTTATATTCAGCTGGCAACATTATCATGCACAATTAATGCGAAGAAATGACAGAGATAAGGATTGATATCGCGGTATTATAATTGAGTTAATACCACAACTAAAGTTAATTTTTTATATCGTTCCCTTCATAAAGGCTTCGTGACATTAATATCAGTTGATTCAACAATACAACAATTGTGCCACGTAATAATCTGATTGACGCAGAAAAGTTGTTGCTCGCAGTTAGCACGATTAAGTAGACGTTATACAAATTCGGTCGACCACCTCGTAAAAAACAATAACATCATGTTATATATCATCGACTATCAGAGAATATCAATCGCACCCGAGACGTTTTGCGCTTCGGACTAGCAAACGAAAATTTGACGAACGATTCCGATACCGAATAATATCATATTTTGATAAAAACTAACCTATCCGGAACGACATGTAAAGAAAAAAAAAAAACATTTGATATGACGAACAATACAGTGAAAACGATAACAAACGGCAAGTCGTTTTTGTGAATATTATACATATATTATACACGACAAAAGAATGCCACGGTAACTTTAGTCATTATAAGCGACCGGCTAAGAGAATTATATTATATATAAATGAATCGCAATGTGACCAATATTCATCGACGTCAAAAACGAGTCGCTTCTTATAATTATTTGCTACTGCTATATTGCAAAAAGGTGCTTTATATAGTCTCTGAAGAGCTTCATATTAACGGAAGATTATTGATATCGGGATGTCCGGGATGATCGGAGAGGGTGTCCCAGAACAATTGTGCTACAGTTCGTAGGAGTGTAAAACGGATTAAGGCGAACATAAAAGTTCCATACCGTTTTGCGATATTCCCAATGATTATCAAGTTATTATAAGCATAGAAGTGCGATAAATGAGATGGTAGGAAGTCGTCAGTCGTTCTATTGTTATTACATGACGAAGATAACGCGCCGTGTACTTACTTCGAGCTTAATTAAACTATTTTTGTTTTTTGATAAGGTGACCTTGTAATCATGAATTATAATATTTAGTGGCCACATATTGGTGTAAGGTTAGACGTGGTGCAGTGAGACGTAAGAACAGCAAAGCACATGTAAGCACACGTAAAACGACACATTATCCTTCGTGCGATAATAATTGCGAGAACGACTGAGCCATGTTATAGCCCGAGAACAGCTCAAATGCTCTTCTCTTATCATCTCAGCGTGCGCTCATTCGTCTTACTTCTATGATTAATAATTTGATAACTATTGCGAATATCGCAAAACGGTATCAGACTTTTTTGTTCGCCTTAATCTGTTCTACACTTCCACAAACTGTGGCACAATTGTTTTTGGATACCCTCTATAATTCCAAGTTTGTAAATTTGAGGTCAAGTGGTCACCTCACAATGCACATCTTAGGTAAAAAAATTTAGTACCTTGTATCTTCTGTCGGCTTTACGTCTCATACATTCCGAGGGAAATTTTTCAACTTTTCCGCGCCGAGATCGTTACTTTCTTTATTCCTCGTGAGCGCCCACCTTTCTCGCGCGTATACAAATGCAACTACGTTGTCGTCGTTTCATCGCGATGCTCACTTTTTCCACTGGTACGTTTCTCTTTCGCGACCGTACCATTCTGTAAATTAAGTTTACTTTCTTTGCCAATGATACGTTCCTTTACGTGATCTGCGGCACCGCACATGTATGCTAATATTTTTTTCTTTTTCTATTTTGACTTTTTCTTACTAATTAAATGCTGTCATTTGATGAACGAAAACATTGATCTTGTACGCATAACGATATCATAATTTTATTATGTTCGTTATCTAGATGTAAGAACTGATAGACAAATACGCAGAAATAATAATAATAATAATAAATCTGACTTTCTAAAAACATTGCTGTCGAAATTGAAATATTGTTTAATAAATCATTCGAATGAAACAGATAAAACTACCTATGAACAATTTATTACTATCTAATTTAGATGATAAGTCAAAGTATCATGTTCGGCTTAAATTTTACAAGTGAGATGTATAATAATATCTTTGATATGTGATATATTCAAGAAATAAACGCGCAGCAATTTAAGAAAAATTGAAAAATTTAACTACATATTTTTATCAGGAAATATAATTGTCAATTGATATATATAAAATAATATCTAAACATATTGACCCACTTTTTTTAAGATAAACACGATGATTCTCGGCTTTTGTATTCATTCGTATAATTGAGATTTATATTTATCGACTGTAATTCAAAGTTCTTTTAAATATTTTGCCATATATTATCACGTTATGTGTTAGTGTGTTAAGCAACAGTTAGTAGAGAATAATGAACACTTGTAATACAAGATTTGAATAATGTTTTGCTTCTTTCGATTAATTAATTGGTATTATATCTAGATTTGTTGTTATTGTATATAGAAGAAAGGAAAGTATTGTATAAAGAGTTCCATGTATCGATAATTATGTTTTGATCTCAAGAAAGTTTTAATAATATATCATTTGAGTGGCCCTTAATGAAGACAAAACATTGCGAATAATTACTGAGACTCTTGTTTATATCGCTTAAACGTTCGTGTTTCTAGATTATTACTGAATAATTGATGCGCAATTATACAATCTCCCTTAGCCTAATAACACAGAGGGAATATTAATAATTATTCGCCATATATCTTTGAATTTTATTATCACGGTAATATACGGTAATAGGGATCCTATAAAAAATGTAATTCTTCACTAAAGTGCTCGTCGATATATTTGATTTATTATACAAAAGTCTTTATCTTCGGTGGAAAATAAGGACTTTATTTTCGGAAAAAAGTCCATTCTTCGAAGGAAGTAAATATATAAACACACTTCCCTTAGACGCGCAAAATGCACTGAACTGACGAGTTCCCCTTCAAATAGTCGGATATTCTGTCCACGACTGTCCGATTTATAAAATAATGATTTAATTATCAAACAATACTTGCAGGTGAGAAAAGCATTTCTCACGAGCACGTACGATCATGTATAATTTTCTAGTTAAATTTTAAAACATACGAAGAAGGAAATAGAAGCACGTGTGTGTTTTCATTTATTTCCGTCCATCAACGATAATCGCGATTGACACTACTCTCTTGCTCAGATTAATTATGTGAGTATCGATTCACCCGTGAGCGATTCTTCAGCGACAAGCAAAACCCAAGGGTAGACGATGAAGTAACAACTAGACGGTAATGAACCTGTTTCGAAAACTGAGACAATCCGCGTCTCGACGAAACTCTTTGCCGTCACTTATAAATATCATCATAAGCGGCGACCTTAAAGACACGTATTATTTTCTACCTCGCGAAGCGCTCTCTCTTTCTCACTCTCTCCTTCCTCTTTCTCAACCCCCTCTCTCTCTTTCTCGTACTCCCTTTGTGTTCTCGGTACGATCTGTGCAATCTTTTGCACGGGCAAAAGATTCATACTGAACGCTTCGATACGTCTCTCAGAAAATAGACGCAAATTAAGCGCGACCGGCATTTGTGTTTTCGCGCAAAGAGTTAGCAACAGGGTTCGCCGGGATTCGGCGAAATGTTTCAGAAAGAAAAATGATGCGACCGAACGAACGTTTACGTCATTCTGGTATCACTTCGTTGTATAGAAGAAGAAGCGCAACATCGATAAATGAAGTACTCACCAGGCAGCGACGAGAGATACGTGGGAACTAGCTTGAGCAAGTGCCAGCTCGAAACTGAAGACACGAGTGTGATCCCGCGTGAACTTCCCTTCGAATACTTGCGGCGTGCACTGACTAACTGACGTTTGCTTCTCGACGGCGACGGTGATTTACCATTGCCATCCCACCTTCGCTGCACCACAGCTACCCCTCCACTCAGCTCTTTCGTTCAAATACAAATTTTCCGATTTTAAGTTCCGCGCAATTTTGGTTTGAACGACGCTACTCCGGATAAAAGGGGCTCCGTTTTTGCCACGCGTTTTCCTTGCGAATGTTCTGCTTGCACGGAGCCTCGTCTCGGGAAAAGAACTGATATTCAAGTAATGAGTACTGGCACTCTAACAAGTTATAATATTATTAATAATACTGCTGTGCGGACACACTTATTTCTTTTACTCCTGCTTACTTTTATCTCTTGCGTCTATCGCGTCATTCGGACCTCGGAATACTTGCTTGTATGACTCTTCTCTCTCATGCTTCTGTCAAATATCTCAATAGACCCCTCCTTTTATGTTCCTCCCATACCTATGTGTATCAGTTGTATCTAAGTATATCTATAAGGAACTTACAACATGGTTCCTCAAGTCATAAATAGGTTCATTGACTCGAAAGATGAATATGTTTACGGACATTGAGTCAGATAGTTGTCTGAAAGACGGCAAAGAGGCGAGTAACAATAGTAGATACTTTGATATTTGAACATGGCCCACATGTTTCATTATTATTTATAAAAAAAAGTAGTTGAAAGTCCAACGAAGTTCCGCAAATCTCTGCTATAAAGTATGCCATCTGTATAATATGTTACCTTTCCTGTATCTATAATATAACTTTTCTTATCATCCAACTCTTTATATTTTAACGTTCTCTTTCTCATTTTAATTCTCATTCTTCCACTACCTTCTTTTTCCCGCTCCTTTAGCTTTTCCAGCTCCTTCACGCTCTCATTCTTCTATTTCGTCAAATCATCGTTACTCCCTTTTCTCTTTGCGTTCCTCCGTAACTCTTCCAACTGCATCTCCCGTCTCGTGCCAGATATTCGTTATCCGATCAACTTTCTAATGGCCCATCCATCTCTCTTGTAGTACGTATTAGGGACACACGAGTTCCCGATCCAAAAATTTCAATAGCGGGATTCTAGAAGTTCCTCACGACGCTAGCACGTGGGATAAATCACGTGGGATCAAAATCACAGTGGGATATATCATGGGAAACTTTCAGGATTCCGCAATCCTGCGACACGCGACTTCGGTCGGGTTCGCATATTTCTCGCCGCATCCTTTATTTCCATTCTGTCCAGTATCTCATATAACTCCGTTTCGGTTATCTGAACATCGTCCCCACATCATCACGTCGGATAGATACGTTCCTTTCTCTGCTCAATCCTTTTCGGATCTTCCTCCTTTTACAAATCTCTCATGCAATATGCATCATCGTCAAAATCGCTCCGTATAGCGACTGTAGAGCATACTCGGAAAGAAAATATCTCCGCCGAGATCGCTGTTGCAGTCAATTGCAAATAGCGATTGTCATAACCCCGATGGTATTTCCCGTTGTAATACAAGAAGGAAGCTTGTATAGGCAATAAAGTGACGGTAATGTCCAAAACGCGTTTGTCGCACGCCGTCTGAAAAGTGCAACGCTATACGAGAAATCAGATAACCCAAGCGTGCTACAGGCGAGTTATTCTTCGAGTTAAATAAATAATGCATATCACAAATGCATGGACACAATGTTGCTGGTATACATAATTTTTCTTCGTCATATTGTACAATGTTATACTATTTGCAGTTATTTACTCGGTCCCCTTGTCTAATGCGCACAGCTGTCGCTCATAAATATCGATGTGATAATAGATCATTGTCCGCCAATCCTCTTCTCTCTTGCGATTGTTCGTCAGAACTTTCTCTATCCTTTTGACGTTTCCAACCAAGGACACCATGCGCAGAGTGTCACCCTCTTCTCGCAACGCTGCATATTCTTCCCATTATACGTATAACATTCTATATCCGCAACTTATTCTATTTATTTATTCGGAAATCTCTTTAATTGTAGCTAGACATGTCGTCGCTCGTAAACTCTTCACGTTACTTTCAAGCGCTTCTTTTTATACAGTAATTAGAATTCGTTCAGTTATCACTTGTGTAACTCACTGATATAAACAACAACATCGATATTTTTCCAAAGCGAAAAGTATCCTCCGTCATTTTTCGCGTTTTATCAGTTATTCCACCGATTATTGCTGCGGATTAACATGTTGTACGACGTTTTGTTCTTTCAGTCTACTTTCAAAACTAATATATTATATACATGCAACTTGAGATTTCCATTGCAAAATGAATGAAAATCATATTTCTACATATTTCTCGTTTGAGTAGACTCCTTAGCATTTTGACGTGAAAAATTGTGTTATATATTTCAAGAGTTATTTCGCTCGCTCATTGATCATCTTCAATAATATTAAAAAATGAGCGTGCATTGCGAATGTATTATTGCACAAATCTGTTATTAAAATAATTGTACGCTCGAAATTATGAACGTATTGCGTAGCTCAACTCTACAATATTATCTTTTTCCAAGATTTTTCTCTTATGTAGTTCAAAGTTAGAGATATCAAGCGTCGATTCGCTTCTTGTTATAGTTGATTTCAATATTGTTCAAGTAAAACATCCTTATTCATTTCAAAGAGAAAGATACGGAAGAAGGACGTCCGACTTCTTGCAAATCGAGCAACGTTACGACGACTAGTTATGGGACTTTCGCGATTTGCAAGCGTTCTAAGAAAGCAAGAATGGCAATTGACCCATAACAAACTTCCTATCGTCTTCTTGATTGAAAGTAAGACTGACGTTACACGATTCTTTCTTCGAAAAGGATCGACATTTCGTCAATGCCTATTGATATGTATGACGTCTACGTGTATCTTTATATTAATATTACAATAAATTGTTTTCGAGTTATATCCGATAACTCTTATCCAAGCGACTATAGACCGCTTCTCGTACGAGCAACTTCGTACTTGTGTATCATGAAACAAGTATAAAACATGTGTAAAATAAAGTATTTGTCATAATTTTAAAACCATTCATTTTCGATTTTTGATATCGCGTCTAATAGCGCGTACATCCGCGCGACTTTCGGTAAGAGGGATGTTCATTTTAGCTTTCCACGCTGTATCTTTGCCGACGATCGCTCGAATTTCTCCAAAACTCTCTCGAGCACTTTCGTATGTATCGTAATCTATGGATTTAGCAATTTGTCGCTCAAGAATTACTCTGCAGGAATTGCAGAAATAGGATATGTGTTATCTTTGTTTCATAATTATTTGAGATTTCATCATCGCAAAAAAAATATTTTAGCTGAAAGTTATCTCGTTTCGTGCAGAATTGTAGCAGTTTTGTTCTACATTCTAGATGTCTCCAAGTTAATGAAGTTATTTATATTTTTGTAGAGAACTAATTTAAATTCGTTTCGATTTAATTAAAATGCTTGAATTAATCGACATATTTCTTTTGCATGCGCAAGGTTGGCATGCGTCAACATATGCGAGAGATATTCTTTTTTTATTACATCTACTTTTATATCGATGTATAAATAAATAGCTAATTTCATCAAGACTAAGCAGATGCCGATAAATCAACGATCGAACGATGTAACGTATTAATGTGTAGCGCGATACTCCTCGAGAATGTAAAGCGAATCGCAACGACGACGTTTCGCACGAACGTCCCAGTCACGTGATCGTAAAATACGTAGTAGTGGAAAGCGAGAGAAACGCATCGTGCTCAAATAGTGGATAATCGGCCACTGCGTTTACGCTGTTACACACCGTGAAGACTACATCCGGACCATGGAATCCCGATTCGACAGCGACACACCATCGGAAACACGTGTGCGTGTGCATCGCGCATTTGTCTTCGATCGCCGTGCGGTTTCACTTATTATATTTATAGACTGCAAAATAATATAGTCGTCATCGCCAGCGACAATATGACAATGTCTAAATGCTAACGAAATGGCCATTCGTCAAGATCGCTAATTTATTGTTCACTTTTTCATCACAATTTTATGTTATCAAGTGCCGCACGATTCGCATAATCTTCGCGTTACGTCGTGATATTGTGCAATCTATGAGAAATTATGAGAATATATAAGTGAGAAACATAGAGGAACAAGAAGTTCAAAATTGTTACATTAAAGTTACAATGAATATGTAATGTTAAATTATGACGGACGATCAGTAATGCAACAAGAAATGTCTCCTTAATCTTTTATCTGTGAAAAATATGATTTCTACTTAAAACGTGATTCAATTATTTTTACATATCTTTCATATATATCAGTATAAGTATAAGAGATCAGTATCAGTATATATAAGTATAAGAAAAACTCCGGAAAAAAGCTTCCAGACTATACGATATTTTAATAAGTTACATAAAAAAATAAGATATAATATAATTTGATATTATATAATAAACTTCATAAAAAAAGCTTTCAGACTTTATAATATTACACAATAAGTTACATAAATAAGAAATAAGATACAAAAAGAATCGACACAAAAAAGATCGACAAAATGTGATAAAATATATTATTAAATAAAATCGATTATTAAATTTGGTAGTAAGTAATTTATTTCCCTAAAATTCAAATTGTTCGTTATACGCAGTTTTCAGAGTTACAGCATTAAAAACATCGACCATATTCTGTTTCATCGCAACGCGTTTTGCGTGCTGATCTCATTCAACAACGACGCTAAAATTAAACCCGACGAATATAATGGAAGAAGAACGAACTTGTACTTCGTTCGCCGAAAGAGAGCCACTCGTCTCTCGTCTCAGCGCTGCAATCAACGAGGATCGAGGGGGATCCCGTAATTCGCACGCGAATCGATAAACAATTTATACTTGGCAGATCGCCGCGCAGTGCCGGATTCGCGGTGATTTTCGCGAACAGAGCGCTGAAATTCACGCGTCTACCCACTCGTGAATCGTGCATTTTCGCCAGTTGGTCAGGCCTTCCGCCAGCGCTTCACTGAATTAATCTAAATGTGAAAATATAAAAACGAAAACTGCGACTGACGCACTTTCGTCGAAACGACAATCGTTATGCGTCATGACAGTGTCGTTGGCTATTATTCGACGTTACGTGATGGTAATTCTGATGTACCGTTTGTGACGCTTTGGCGGTCGAATTGCGATCATTTTCGACAGGGCAGAGATATGTACTTCGAACAATGTGTAATATTATATTTTTCGGTATAATGTTACATGTTTCTTCATATATTTTACACTCTAACATATACAATGCCTACCAAAAGTTCCGGGGCACCTAAATAATTTTTGAATGGTTTGAATGGAATTTTTGAATGGAAATGTAGGATTAAAATTTATAGGGATACAATGGGATCACAAAGTCTATTATTTAACCACAAAAACACCCATCTCCACACTCCCGAAGGACGGGGGGAAGGGGAAGCCAAAAAATCTTAAATGGCATGTGGAGTTGAGTGAGGGCTGGTTCGAAAGGGTTTTTCGTCTCGGAAAACCCTTTCGAACCAGCCCTCACTCAACCCCACATACCATTTAAGATTTTTTGGCTTCCCCTTCCCCCCGTCCTCCGGGAGTGTGGAGGTGGGTGTTTTTGTGGTTAAATAATAGACTTTGTGATCCCATTGTAATCCTATAAATTTCAATTCTACATTTCAAACCGTTCAAAAATTATTTAGGTGGCCCGAAACTTTTGGTAGGTACTGTATAAAGAAATAT